ACTGTGTTTTAGTGCGTTCTAAAAAGAGTGGTGCAATATGGGTTTTCCTGCCAACAGTTAAGATGGGCAGTTTCTATATAAATGTGATTGTTAAACTTAAAACCAAAAGAAAATTTATTAATACATGTACATGAATATTCTTGACTGTGTGACTATTTTAAATTGGCTATATGTGGCATTATGTGGGAATAAATTATTGAAGCTTAGAATATGTCATTTGACTACATGTATGTTGTAACATTGCATTACACAGATGTACCAATTATATGTTAATGGCAGCATTTTACCTTGGATTGTGTAAAGAAAACTATTAATTTACATTCATGATTATATTGGAGAAAATTATCAATTTATCAGAAAACAATTAATTTAAATGAAAGTCAGACTGAAGAAAATGATCAGTCCACCCCAGTATAATTTTGAAATACAAGAAAATAATGTTTAATTTAGATACATATGTATAGAGATACACCTGGTGGAATCTTGTATGATTTGATTATTGCAGTTCAGTTTGTAAGTGTTGAAAATACAAATGTTTTTATTTTATTTTTTCAGGGACAAGTTATTCCCAGAGTCAGTCATACGAAATGTTATATACCAAATTTTACAAGGTTTAGCTTTCATGCATAAACATGGTAAGTTTGTTCTCTATCTGTCTTCCTTAAAATTTGTGCTGGTGCCCCTTACAGGTGAGGGGTTGTCTTTAATGGTTGAGGCATAAGAATTGCAGCCACCATTTATCCCTGCTTGATGGTAAGAGGTAACTGAAATAGTCTATGCATTTCTTAGCTCCAGCAGATGAGGCTGTTTTGTCCACTAGTGTTCCTTTAAGTTTATAACACCCAATGTTAGCCAAAACCATCTTTCCTGTTTCAGCAACCATATGACATAAACTGTGTTGGTGCGCTGTAAAACTAAAAAAAACAGAACTATTTATGCTCGTTACATGATACAGAAATGTTTTACTAGTTCATGATATTTGATTTTAACAAAAAATAATACTTATTTTATTCTAAATTGTTGAGTTAGAGTAAATATCTGCCAATGTAAAGCCACAAAAACGTTTGTAATGAGCACAATAGAGCTTGCATTCTTATTGTATAAAATGCCTTTTTGTGATATTTAGAGACTCTCGATGTCAAGAAAGTAAGTGTATTAAATAAAATATGTACGCTATTGGTCTTAATTTTAGTAGGTGTTGACCGATTGAATTTCTAATGTAATGCCATAAGAAAACCATAAGAAAACTAAATAAAAATGACTTTAAGCCAAATAAACATTGTGTTTATGTAGATATATTTATAGGAAGCCTAGTTTACAAGATTTTAATCTATAAGTTATATCTTTTAAGCTGTTCAATATTGACATTGTATATATACAGATATATACCATATTTCTTTACATACATGCTGTATTAGAACGCCTAATTGTATATATAAAATATTACGACTGACAGGGTCAGAGGATTTGAATGTGAGGAATTACAGTACATGACCAGAAGATCTTGTGATTAGACTGTTACTGTTAAAATAATAAGCATTATCTTGTAACAAAATATTGGTTGAAACAGTGCACTCAAAATGCCTGTACTAACTGTTCTGTTCAAACTTTGGCAGAGGATTGTTTTCTTCCTGTTATGATTTAATTATAAATAAAAAGAGTTGTCTTATGTGGTGCACTACAGAATTATGTATTATGAACTCGTCTTTTGTATTTCTATTTTCTATCAAAAATTAAATGCAGTTTTACATTTTAGCCTTCTTTAGGCCGGATAAACAAACATATTCCATATTGCAAAAAAATGCCAACATTTTTCCCAAAATGCTGTAAAATAATTCCCAAATAGACATTCATAAATTGGTATTGTTTTTGTTCTACCCTGCAGCTAACATAATTTCATGACTTGAAGTTGACTCACAACTGTTCCAGTTCTGAAAAGGGTGACAAATTAGGGCTGTACTTCAAAATATGTAGATATTGAAGTACTAAATTAGGCAACGAAAATTAAACAGACTTGTCGAAATGCATTTACATGCAGGGTGTCACAAACCTTTACTTCTGATTAGGGCATTATCACAGTCAGTTATAAGGGTTAGAAATTGAAAGTTTAATAGGAGTGCATAAGAAGTTGAAGTATGTCTAATCTTAGGCTTAGAGAAGTTTGAAGTAGACTAAATAATAGAAATGGGATTATAAAAATGTAAGTCTGCACTTCAATCTAATAAACCACTTACCATAAATTATCAGTGTGGCTTTGAATTTTGAATGTTAATGTCAGAATACGAAATTTACTTTAAACGTAAGCTTTTTAGCCTTATTATTATATGTTTACAGTACTAGCAACAGAGCTGAGTAATACTAGTCCCTGCAACAAGTATAAAGTCAAGCTTGTCTGCATTGTTAGGGGCATCATTTTAAGCACTTTCATATTGTATCTTTTATTAATAACTGTCAGTTTTTAAGCTAGGCAAGTCTAATGCGGAACTCAGAGCAGGTTAAAATTAAGGGAATCATACTAAGGGAATCAAACCAACCTTGCCTCACAGTTACTCCGAGTTTGTTGAAAAGAATGCTTTATCTTAGATTATAAACATAATATATCAAAATATGAGTGTCTAATGCTTCAAGCAGATAAGCTTATAATATTAAAAAAAAAGTTACTATAAAAAACGTTATCAAACTTAAGAAACGCCCCCCGTTAAAAAAGCTTCCTTTTTTCTAATATTTCAGTGCATTCCTCTTACCCAAAGCTGCTTATTCAAATAGAATAGCTCTAAATGTTTCAAGGAGTTTCTGTCAATTTGCCAAAATTCAACAAAACATGACTTCAATTTTACTAAGGATTTAATTATTTGATATAAGTGTAAAAGTTCAACACTGTAGGTTTTGTTTTTTTTATATAAAATAGAGACAAGGAAGTGAATATCTTATAACTCGTACGCTAAACTGACAATTATAAATGATTTTTATAATAAGGAGAATAATTTATAATTATTCTTGTAATACTGTATGTTTGTAACATCGCTTTTCATTTGCTAATTGTGATTTTTATATATTTTTATAAACATGGCTGCTGTCAGTTTATGAGGAAATCTTACTTTTTCTCTAAAAAGGGCGTTTGCTGTATTTATGCCCCCACAGAGTGGGAGCATATAGCGTTGCACTTGTCCGTCCTTCCGTCCGTACATCCGTCCGTCCGTCCATCTGTCCGTACGACCCGAAATCTTGTGAACGCAACTCCTCTTAAACCGGATGGCAGATTTTGCTAAAACTTTCAGGGATGAACAACCTTAATGTGTAGATGGTAGTAAAGGAAGGAATTTTCGCTGCGACCAAATTTAACAGAATTATGGCCCTTTGTTGATTTTTTCACAATATACCATGTAAAAATTTTGTGAACGCAACTCCTCTTAAACCGGATGGCAGATTTTGCTTAAACTTCCAGGGATGAACAACCTTAATGTGTAGATGGCAGTAAAGGAAGGAATTTTTGCTGTGACCAAATTTAACAGAATTATGGCCCTTTGTTGATTTTTTCACTATGTACTATGTAGAAATTTTGTGAACGCAACTCCTCTTTAACCGGATGGCAGATTTTGCTTAAACTTCCAGGGATGAACAACCTTAATGTGTAGATGGTAGTAAAGGAAGGAATTTTTGCTGCGACCAAATTTAACAGAATTATGGCCCTTTGTTAAAATTTTCACTATATACCATATACAGTCAAACTTGTATTAAGTGACCGCGCAAGGGAAACATCCAAAACGGTCACTTCATGAAACGGCATCTTAAGACAAAGCATGATATAAAAGTCAAAATTTATAGATGACATCTTTCTTATGCGGTTGGAATGTTTTTCAACATCATTTTTATATAAATGTTAATTAGTACGCTCCGATTATCTAAATGGATGCTTATGTAAAAAATATCTTTCTGATATTTATTGACAAAACAGTTTTGATCCATTACGTACATGTTTGACATTTTGTCGAGAATTTTTTAACTTCTCCGTTGTTTTTCCTTTACTCCAACACGAAAACCCTATTAGTGAAGTGCATTTTTTTCATTAGAAATAAACAACTACATCTTATTGTTACAATTAATTTAATTGCTGATCAAGTTCAAGGTCAATTTAATGCAGTCTAAATGTCAACAAGCGAAGCGTATACACCATCTCAGTAGGGGCGGAGCGTTGCATTGTTTTTTTGATATTATTGGATAATACACGTCACGCATATACTTAACTTCATTTGCATACGCTAAAACGGTTTGGGAAACAGAGTTTTTCACACGTTTATTTGTTGTGTTTGATTTTTGACACTTGTGACTTTACGAGGCGGCGTTCTTTAAAAACACAATTACTTGACGGTAAATGTGGTCGTTTAATGACAAGATTGATCTCAATTAGGTGACAAATTAGCGGTCGCTGGTCGCGTTGAGCAAAAGTCGCTTAATACATTAAAGATATAGAGAGAAAATGATCGGGGGGAATTTAAAGTGGTCGTTTAAGACAAAAGTCGCTTAATACACGTGGTCGCATGGGCAAGTTAGACTGTATATGATGTCGGTGGGGGCATCCGTGTCCTTTGGACACAGTTCTAGTTTGTGTATGTATTTGATAATAAACATTATAAAAGTATGTAGACCAATGAACACCTCACATTGATTCCACCATTGTCTACTATTATTAGCTAAATAGGGAGAGCATTGGTTTTATAATGCAAATGTTAACATAGAGCATTTTTTAAACTTTTTTCATATAGTAAGGTTAAAAGATTTGCTTAATCTTTTTCAGGTTTCTTCCATCGTGACTTGAAACCAGAAAATTTGTTGTGTTCAGGGCCTGACTGTTGTAAGATAGCAGATTTTGGTCTCGCACGTGAAATTCGATCTCGTCCACCTTATACAGACTACGTATCAACAAGATGGTTAGTATTATTATTGATTTAAATATTTCAAATATCATTAAATTGTCATGATTTGGAAGACAAGTTTAAATATCACAGCACATGGATTCCATAATTTAATAGTGAAATATTAATGCAGTGTAATAGAGCCTTTGTGACATGGATGCTAGGTACCAAAGAATTTTTCCTTGCAACTATTTTAGAGTCAGGCTAACATCACATTAATGTTTTGTTTACATTTTACACATACTATAAACATTAGCTGCTATAGTTTTGCACAATTAAATATTGTAATCACTTACATAAATAATTGATAGTTCCAGATTCAAAGCATTGCATGGTTTTGACAAAGTGATCAAAAATGAAAATATAAAGAATAAAAAAAATTCTTACTAACTTTGTAGAGAAAATATTTAAGACCATGATAAAAATATTGATAGTGTATTCATTTGCCTTATCTTAACAAAACACTTAATTATGTGACCTATAAAACCATATTGTATCTTCTTGGCAACACGCCAGATCATTTAATATTATCTTTATGTATAATATCTTACTTTTGTAATTTTTAGACCTCTGTGGCCTTGTGGCTAAGGTTCACAGATATTGAATCACTGGTAATTGATATGGAAGTTATGATTGTTTTTATGAGGAAACTATCCTGCTTATATGCAGACAATTTGTTGTTCTACTGGGGTGCCTACAAAAGCTATAAGGACTGGTACCAAAGAGTTTCTAGTAGGGTCACCAATGGGCTTCCTCCTTCAGTAAATCTAAACAGTGGCCATGGCCATATTACCCTTAAAATGTTTCACAAGAAACCTAATGAAAAATAAGAATTTTTGTAATTTGATAATGTTCAAAATACGATAGATTTTATCGTTATTTGTATGATATTATAGGTACAGAGCACCAGAAGTTTTGTTACGGTCAACAAATTACAACAGTCCTATAGATATCTGGGCAGTAGGTTGTATAATGGCAGAAATGTATACATTGAGACCACTGTTTCCAGGAAGCTCGGAAATAGATGAAATATTTAAAATATGTACAGTACTAGGAACCCCAAAGCAGGTAAGTCTAAAGTGATAATTTAAATGAACACAGAGACTATGAAACATACATAAGAGTTAATGTTATGAAACTTATTGTCAAATAATATTATGAAAATCATTGTTAAATTATTAATGAGAGAGTTTTTGTCTCCTTTTTTAGGACTAAGAGATCTCATGAATCATACAATGTTTAATAAGAATAGAGACCACTCATAATTTTATTGAGTTAATGCAGAGACTATAATGCTTAAAACACACATTATGATTTAGACTTTAATCAGTTAAGATTCAACTTGCTTTGGCAAAGTACACAAATGTAACAATATGTGAAGTTGATATATGTATGTCAGTTTATAGCCCTTATCCTACTGGTGGTATCAGGTTCTACCCATGCAAGCAGTGCAGACCAAGATCAGTCACCTTGTCCATGCATCATGGTCTGTACTGTTTGCTATTCAGTAAGTACACATTTTGAAAATGTAGCCCAAAAATGATGAATGGTTTTGTCAGGATTGAAAGATGGAAAAGTCTTATTTAAAATATAAAGTGGAAAAAAAGAGTTTGAAGATTTTGATGATATGTTTAAATCTTGTATATACAGGATGATTGGGATGAAGGTTTTAGACTCGCCTCTGCAATGAACTTCCGATGGCCACAATGTGTTCCCCAGAATCTGAAGACGTTGATACCAAATGCCAGTCAAGAGGCTATACATCTAATGAAAGACATGATGCATTGGAATCCACACAAAAGACCTACAGCAAGTCAGGTATACAACATTACTTATAATACTCTGCTTTTGTAATGTCAATTATCATTGGCTAATAGTTACGTTTATATAGTTTTATTTACACAACTGGTGTCAATTTTTGAAGAAACATCAAAATTATTTTGCTTTATTCTCTGTAAATTCATTTCCTGTTTGAAATATATACCTCATGGTTTAAATGTACACGTAAAGTTAAAATCATTTGTTTTGTTTCAGTGTTTAAGATATCAATATTTTCAAGTTGGCCAGAATCTTGGTACAGCCATGCCATCCCCTGCTCGTCCACCCGCTCAGCCCATTCACTCACAACCATCATACAAGCCCCCAGAGAAACCCAGTGTACCGTCCCCACAGCATCACATGACAAATAGACCGTTTCAGGAGAAGCCCACTATACCTAACCAACAACAACCATTGGTGCCAAATTATGCTCAGAAACAGCAACAAAACCAGGATATGGATGTAAGTTTATATTATCACGTACCCTTACAGCTTTTTCGACTCTAAAAAAGCTGTATTGCACCATCGTGTATATATTTTGCCAAGACGTCATTTGCAGTATTAGAATATAGCTTAAGGATGCGCTTAATATTAAGGCACATTACGAAAAGTGATTTTTTTTAAAGTGTAAACAGTTTTTATTTTGGATAAATGAGGCTCGCGTAAAAATTTTTTATTTAACTTGTTCAATAAGTTGAGTATTCAACCTACACTCAATATCCTCTATATATTGCCTTTTTTCGCTTGACAAAAAAAACTTTTTATAGAATTTGTTAGTTGATCAATTTTTTTTTCTGTTAAACTACAGCTCAATACAGTATACTATTTGGATAGTGTTAGCGATTTTCCCTAACTTTACTGAGTACCTGGGACTCAGTGCTAATAGATCTGTTACGTCCCAATTCAAATGGAACGAGTCCTCAATTACAAAAATGTCAATGTTTGCATAACTTCATAATACAATCAAATTTGATTTGTGACTGTTGATGTTCGCGGATACCATTGATAGGTTGGCCCAAAACGAGGCCGAGCACTTGCTCCTAGTCTACGTTTGGGATATAAATCTGCATTGCTAATGAGAAAGGAACAAATGAAAATGAGGTGAAAGTCAAGTTCTTATAATACAATTTATTTAAAGTGAATAGAAAATCATTTTCAAGCAGAGCAAAAAAACTTAAGAGAGAATTGACCAATTATCGGGGAAAAAGTGTTACATCCCAGGGACTCAACAGCCCTTTTTTTCTTTCCTCCCTGGCAATTTTAGAGAGTAAATTGATATGTTTACTCAGTAAACGCGAACACTGCAGCCTACGTCTTTAAAACTATTTGTGTCCCTTATATATTAACATGAGTAGTTAGAATATAAAAGTGAATTGAATTGATTTCTAGGATCCTTTCCAAATGTCTGTAACAAAGAAGCAGAGTGCAAGAAAACGTTGGGGTGGTGGAGTGTCAGACACGTGGGATGATTTCGATGACCTAGATTTCGGTGTTCCACGTAAACAAAAGGCGGCACCAGCAAAACCTTTGCCAGGTATCGGTGGTAAAAGAGAGGATAAGAAAGAAAATGCGTTTAATGATGACGAAGATGATTTCTTAGCGTAAGTTAATAGTATTTTTGATATGTTCTGCATTACAATGTTTTTTATAGTAAAATGTGCAGGACAGAAATATATATATAATTAAGATGTGAAACTTTTGTTAAATAATGTAGATTTGAATTTGCATGAATTTTAAGAATCTGAATGAATTTTAATGGCAAGTTATCAATCGTAGCATTGTGTTTAGGTTAGAATTAAGAACTTTTGTTAATGAACATTTGTTAGAAAATTTAAGTTTAACTTAACATTTAGCCTGCTGTCTGCAGCTCAATATACCCATGCAACCAGTGCAGACCAAGATCAGCTGGCACATCCATTTGTCCAGATCATAGTCTGCATTATTCCCTATTCAGTCAGTACATATTTTGAAATTTTCCCTTAAAAGGTTGAATGGTTTTGTCCAGATTGAAAGATGGCGAAGTCCAATAAAAATGTTTAGCGTGATAAGGGTTAAATATTTCTGCTAAAGTGCATTTGTTATTGAAATTAAATCATACCAAGTATTGTGTTAATTTACTTAAATGATATTTATTTCAATACATATATATATTTACCAGGAGTATATTAGGTAAGAAGTCATCAAAAGGTAATCAGAGGATACCTTCAGGCAGATCTCGAGAATCTTCAGCGAAACAACATTATCTCTCTAAAGCAAGATATTTACCAGGTACGTGGTTGTGATATCATATATAACCATTAATGAGCCGCGCCATGACAAAACCAACATAATGCGTTTGCGACCAGCATGGATCCAGACCAGCCTGCGCATCCGCACAGTCTGATCAGGATCCATGCTGTTCGCCTACAAACCTTATTGGAGTAGGTGAAACTGATAACTAACAGCATGGTTCCTGATCAGACTGTGTGGATGCGTGAGACGTGAGAAAATTGCAATATTTTTTAGAGCTCTTAGCACAAGTGAGAATGTGGATATTTTCTTAACCCAATGTAGATATTACTGATTAGACATTACTACAAAAAAAAAAAAAACAACAAAAAAACCTCACATTTTCTTTGTTTGATAAACAAACTTAGTATTTTTGTGCAGGAAACAGGTGCATAAATTAGATTTAACCTTAGACATTAAATGATTGCAAGATTGTTAAAAAAAAAAAACATTAACAAAGATTCAAGTTTAAAGTCATCTTTTCTATGTAAATTTTCAACAATTTGAATAAAGTAGTGATATTTGAATCAAGAAATATGCCACAAAGAATGAAACACAACTAATTTGAATGTAATCATAAAAATTTAAAATTTGCATCAAAGGAAAATGGCTTGCAAAGCTTTGTCACTCACACTATGAGTGATATACTGTGAGTAATAAGGATTTTATTTTACTGATAAATTTTAAAACCTAGTATAACATAGTTAGGACAAAATAAATATTTGTATTAGAATGACAAACAAAAAATGAATATATTTATGGAATGTTAGCGTGCATATATTTGGCTAAATAATTTCTATGAATTTTAAAAGACTAAGTAGCTAGAAATAGTTGTAAGTGATTGTTAACCATCAGATGATGTCAATATTTGTTATTGAAGAGTTCTAGATTTAGTCATTGCTCACTTTATTTAGTATTAAAGTGCATTAGAAGTGTGTTTTAGCCGTGCTTAAGTTAGATAACTTGTTGCTTATTAGGTATATCAGCACCATTTAATGAGAAACCTGGTGGTGCCGCTTTAATTACGGTCAAGGGTCATAAACCGGCGGTCGTTAAGCCCATTGAATACTGGACCAATCCTCAATCTGGTAAACAATGGTGCACATAGACTGGCTTACAGCATTTTATGTTTGATAGAAGATGGCATGCACACATTGTGAAAAATGGCTGAAAGATTGATATGTAGATGTTGTTAATGTTACAACAATAAAAATGAAATGAAATTTTGACATATACATGTAATATATTTTAAGGAAGAAGATTAGCTACATTCATTTCGTCTCAGAAATGGCAAGATCGTCTTCAAACAAAATTTTCATGATACATCCAGTGTTTTACTTGCTTTTTCTAAATTTCTTCATATACATCACCTTTCAGACCATTTCCTGTTTTGCAATCTTTGTTTCTGTACATAAAAACATCATCATATATTTTTCGTCATTGTTATTTTAATATTCTTACGTTTTGTAAAGTTGAGCACAAGGATAATTTATTACAGGATATCTTATCTGATATGACACATTTTAATTGCATCAAACTTGTTTTCATGATAACATCTGGATACTGTTTGCTTTTTATCAAAAAATGTAACTTGTGAGTTGACTTCAAAAATATATCTGCACTCACAGCTGTGATTTTTTTGATGTCCAAATGCATGATGATTAGATAGCTTTTGTTTTTAAATTCAGTCCGCAATTTTCATCTGCTCATTTCCGCAGTGTGTCAAGGTCATAGAACATTGTTAAAACTATGGTTGTTTGATAAATGTGTTAATTGGTGTATCTATTTCCATGTTTTGACCATACACTAGTAAGATTTGTTTGAACCTTTTCAAGTAACTGGAAAATATTTTTTATCATGTATTTTGGATGTGTGGGGAAGTTTGTCGTGATTTTCTTGTGGTAAAAATTCATGGGTAGTGTGAGTTGTTGGGAAAAATAGAAAGGTTTCTTTTTTCCTAAAAAATGATAATAACACCTTTGTTAAAAAAAAAACATAGTTTTTCCCAAGCTAATTTTTAAAAATAATTTAAAAAAATTTTGGAAAAAAGTACTAAATTTAAAAAAGAGTACAGGTTCAAATTTAAAAAGGTTTCATTTTAGATTAAAGATATTTTTCAGCATTTATCACCATATTTTTACTAACGCAGTGAGGGATTTTATGCATATTTGAACCTCGTTTTGGTAATTTACATGGATTTTAGTGCCATTTGCAATGTGTAAATTGCTTTTCTTGTTCATTGCACAATATTTTACTTCTAGATACATTTTTAAACTGTCCATGAACATTAGCATGAATCTGTAGGCATGCTGCTTCAACCAAATTTTACCAGATGCTAAGAATAATGTTGTATATTTGTCAAGGTTTTAGACAATTTTAGAAACCCAAAATATAGCATCTTGTCTCGTCTATTTATAGGAATAAACCCAAAGAGTAGTTCAAGGAAGGAATCAGGAGGACCAAGTCTAGGTCCAAGCACATGGGGCAGTCCAGCCATGAATAAACCTGGTGGTATGAACATTGGACGAGCAAATCAGGGTCAGATGGGTAATCAGGGATCTCCATCATATGTACCTTCATTCTTATCAAGTAATAAACCTAACAGTGAGTATCTACGTTATTGTTAAATATTTGTTCTTAACCTTTATGAATAAGCGTAAGTGCTATGTATAAATTTTGATATGTGAAAAGATTGATTTCCCAGCATTGGTTAACATTTCATGCATTTCAGGACAAATGCGTCTGCTTGCTTATAACTTTAAGTTTAAATGTCATAACTTGTGTGTTTCATGAAAATATTATTTGAAAAGTATGTTAACCATTTTATTTTAAGATTAAACTCTTGTACAATTGTTGTCATACTTTATTTTCACAGATTATTCAAATGTAAGTTGGAAACGAGCACAGCCTGCACCTTTATCATTAAACAAGAATTCTGCCGGCTACAGACAACCTGTGGGCGGGGCAGCAGCTGGCAGAACAGATTGGGCAGCTAAGTATGTACCTTATCAATAAAGCACTATATAGTGGTGGGTCTTGACCTGCTAATGCCATCAATAGACGGTTAATGAACCTTTGTTCTTGCATTAAGGACGTTTTCAGGAGTTTTCATATAGACATATAGGCAAAATTAAAACTGTACAATAGAATTTCTTTAAACTTGGCATGTTGTTAGAATATGATAACAGAAACATTTAAAGCGAAAAAAAAAAATGGGGTCACCCTTATGGTAACCTGCCTCTGAATCAGAATTTTTTACTCATTTGAGGTCATTTCAAAGGCAGATAACTGATAATACTTAAATGAATTCTTGTTTTTACTTCTGGATTATGTTTTTCTTTTTTATTGTTGAGTACAATACATAATTACATGCAATTCCCTGTTAATTTTTTTCAATGAAAAATGTGCTTTATTAATTATCATAATTATCATTAATTGATTTATGTATCGTAACGTCTGTAGGCATACATGGTAAACAGTCATTATTCTAGTTATGTATACCTATATTCCAGTGTTTGGTCAACTTAGTATGGCTGTCATTCTCAAATAAGTGAGGAAAACATTTAAATTTACTTTTGCTTACTTATTTTTCTTTAAGAGAAAATATTTCATAGGAACAGTTAAAGGGGAGTAACTGCTACAATTGTCTGAAAATAAGTATGTGTTTCATGTTATTGAAAGGATTTTTCAGAAGTGAAATTTGTTAATTATTTTATTTTTTGACAAACTTTTTGCTTAAGAAAATACACAAACATCTATTCTAGACACTATAAGAGAATTTCGGAAATAAGCAAAGAAGGCCACAACAACACACTGGTCGTTCTTATTCTGTACAATATGCATTTACATGTCAGTACATAATTATGGTTCATTCATCCCATAGTCCTAGATATCCCTCATTTATTACATGCTTTTCGGTGGTTTATAGAAATTTATCAGTGATATAAAACTGATAACTTCACTGTTTTGAATTTAAGCCCCACAGTACTGGAAACCAACCTAATAACGTGACATTGTAAATGACGTCATGTTGTATTATTATTTGGCGCGCTTTTCATTTAGTACTAGGTTTAATGTCTTTTTAAAAGGTTTCTTTACATATAATTAAAAGGAAATTTGTTTAGTTTAGTGTAAGATCGAAATATATTTCACTTTGTGAAATACCAAAAGTTCATATTTCATTCGTGGCTGCGCCACTTGTGAAATATACTATACCTTTTGGTGCTCACTCGGTTAAATATATTCCAATCTTACACTGAACTAAACAAATATCCTCTATATAAAATGCACAGTCAACAACTAAGTTATCGAATGTTAATTGGTGATTTCAAAATTTGTTATACTCGAAATATTTGCATGAATAATAAATTTATATATGTATTATGTAGTATTAGCAGATTGGAATAGCCTTATAGTCATACAAATGTACACTGTTTTCCTCCCCATAATTGTTCTTGCATGAAAAGGAAAATGTATCTGGATTTTGAGTGATTTTTGATACAATATTGCATAGTATATGAATCAGATGTATCCTTGGTGTTTATCTTTGTGCATATTTGAACTATGTACTGTGCTATATTATAACATAAAGCACTCGAAATGCAGATATATTTCCTTATTCTGATGGAAGAATTTATTCAATTATGATGTGCCATGCATGATTTTATAATGTTTCAAATTTAGTTATCATTTTTTTCTTTTTATTTTACAGGTACTTGAAATCTTGATAACTTCATTCATCAAGGGACACAACTCTACTCAACATTCATTATTTCTGTGTAAACTGGGTAGTCATTATCTGAGTTATCTCTCTTTGGAAAAGAAAAATTGGAACTTCGACGGAAATTAAGTTTTGATGTAATGTAATTGAAAATAAGATCTTTGAGAGTTTATCTGAGGGAAATAAAAACTATTGGTTTTATGTTTACCATAACAAACAGACAATCTTGTAGGATGCATTTCATGTAATGTTTTAAACTTTGTGTATTTTCACACGACTTCCAACATGGCAGTTGTTTGTCCTTTATTTTTTAAAAAAAGTTTATTATAATATGTGTAAAAATTATTGATGCATGTATATATTGTTAAAGACAAAATATATTTAAACTGTGATTTGTTTTTATTGTTTTTAATCATGTTTTGATTGAAGAAATTTGACGATTTTTGCCTGTGATGTCAATAGGTCAGTTTAATTATTTTACACCATTTTATAAAGTAAATCTCTTGCCTTTAGTTGCCAAATCACCATAAATGAGGTACATTAACATGCAGATTCAAGTACCACCTTATCGTAGCAATGAGTTAACTCATTTTAAATTATGTAAGGAGTTAAACCATTACTGCACTAAGGTGATGGTATAATGTTGTAGATAATTCTTACATGTAAAAACCATTATTTACAACAAAATTTCGATGTGCTAATTCTCTTATATTTTCAATGTATTATATATTGATATACATAATATGATCTTTTCAAAGTTTCATTTTATATGCAATTGAAATTGATAAAGAAAAAGTATTCAAAATTTTGACCGCATTTAATTTGTTTCATATATGGTGTGGCTTGCTTTTAATTTAATTTTAGTCGTTTTTGCTGAAACATCTTTCTGATGTATATTAGTATATGTAATTATTTATAAAATAATAGCTCAGAAAGTGTTACTATCAACTGTAAAAGACTAGATGATGAAAAAAATTTGCCGACTTTAGGTTGAAAAAAAAAAAAGTTTTGCAGTATATTGACTCAATGTGCTTATTATTAAACAGAAAAAAAACTTGGTAATAATTTGTTTGTTGTACATTAAATGTACTCTATTTTATGTTTACTCTAATCCAATTGTGCCAGCGTTAAAATAAAAACCTGTAGTATAGTTATTTGTTGAAGTACTGGGGCCAAGGTTATAAAGAAATGAGCCGCGTCACAACAAAACCAACAAAGTGCATTTGCGACCAGCATGGATCCAGACAGTCTGATCAGGATCCATGCTGTTCGCTGTCAGTTTCTCCACTGGTAATAGAGTTGATAAGCAAACAGCATGGATCTTGATCAGACTGCGCGGATGCCCAGGCTGGTCTGGATCCATGCTGGTCGCAAACCCACTATGTTTGTTTTGTCGTGCAGCAGCTCAAATATTCTAATCTCAAACTCATATCTCAGGTATTTGACTGGTCAGAAACACACACAGAATGTGAATTGACCAATGAAAATCCTGAGATTCGAGCTTGATCTTATGAAAAGGTTTTATAACCTAAGACCCTGGTGTACATTATGTTAGCTCATATACATGTACAGGGAATGTTGACACATTCACCTGAAGTTTGTAAAGACACATGAAAGTTTTAGCTGCAGTATCTGCATTTCATACTTACATGTTTATCTTTTGTTTTCAGTCTCATTTCTGTGTAGGTGTACATATATTTGGTAATTTTATGTATCTAATTTAGGTTGAAATAGTGTTTTAATTGTAAACAATTGAAGTTATTCTGATAAGTGACAAAGTCACACATGCAAATATTAGATGTGTATTTTTTTACATTTAGGCTGGACAGAGAAATATTTGGTCCTGATAGTAAAGTAAGGCCAACTGTAAAATGACTTGGACTGAAGTGCCTAATATGTTTATATTATATAACCCATTGCTGTTGGGTTATATAATGTTTCAGTCATTTATACCTGGCCATATAAATGGTCAAATGTCTTAACAACAAATTTATGATACTACAGAATTGTTTTCCTTGATTGAAATAATAAATAAAAAATTAAGTCTTAAATTTGCAGCTGCAGTGTACCATATATTCTTTAATTAATGCCCCCTTTGGGGAAAATGAAATGCCCATGGGGCATTTGTTAGAGAATATATGGTATATATATCAGTGTTGGAATTGACCAATGAAAATCAATGTTTCAAATGTACATAAAGATAACAGTGTCTGTAGTGTTAAATTTCAATATCTTAACAGTGCTTAATTATTTATTTATTTATTAAAATTGAACACAAAAAAATTATTAAACTAAAAAAAAACTGTTTATTCTAAATGAATTATGAATCATTTTTCTTGGGGCACTAGTACAGTGTTCATATAATCAATGAATTATTTCTGTTTTATTTTATGTTTTATTTTCGTGTATAATCTGTATTTAGACCCATTTACTTTTGAATTATTTTGTGTTGATAACAGATAGTACTGAGTATTTTATGTAAGTTAAAAGTTACATGACTAAAAGGAAATTTTCAAACTCATTTTGATATAGATAGGAATGATGAAAAAGTATGTGTGTTACTTGTTTATGAAAAAAATGTGTACAGATGAAATTGTGTGTTAATAAATGAATAACTTGTTTATGATGTTGCAACATGACTGTTTATTAATACAAAATGCTTCATTAGTGAAGAGATGGTCAGTTAGTCTGTGATATGTATGTAATTACCAAGTTTTTAATTTTTATTTCATATTGTTTTGGTAAGATGATGATGTGTAAAACAACAAAAGGTTCAAAGCAAAATGTTATTTTCATTCACAGAATTCACTCTCATATATAATATACACAATATACTCTCATTTATTTAGAACATATCAAGTTGGGATTTTATTTTCCTCGTATATCATATACTGCATCACTTTTCTTGTTTGTACATGTATTTCTATGGGTTTTTTTTAAACACAACTTGAGACAGAGGAAACATGTTTGTTTTAAGTGAGAATATAGGTTTTATTTCATTGAGCGGTGAAATAATAAAAAGGAATATTGCATATGTGTATCACATATGAGATGGGATGAAAAATTTCAAGTTAAATTTTTTAAAATTAACTGGTTAAATTAAAAAATATCCCTCTATTTCTTGATAAAATTTATATACACATGTGCATGTATTGCCAATAATATAAGCTATTAGTATTCAATAGCAAGTTTGAAATCCCTTTACATCACACCATTTTTCTCATTGCCCATAACTTACAATAATTAATGTATTTTGTTACACTGAGTCCGTCCAGAAAGGATATCTCGTACATTTTAATCAACCATTTTAGTCATTATTTATGAATTAACAATGCTTTCACCTTTGAAATTGTTCTTTACCTTTTCAGGAAAAAATGAATGGCTGTTTTCAATTTCTTTTTCAAGGGACACAAATCAGTACTTGGAAAAGTTTATATGTTAGTATACAAAATAAAATAACATAAGTGTTTGAATAATGTGATTTACATGTATATAAATAAATAAACATTGAAAAGTTTTTTCTTTTTAAACAAAAAAAAAAGTCAATTTCAGCTTTATCATTTTATGCGTAGAATTCTTATTAGCCTTTTTTTAGTAGCAAGATTTGAGTTCATTTCATATGTTATATTTTTTTAAAATCATCATAATTACAAAGCATGTTTTTTATTGTATTAATGACCTCAACTCTGGTATAAATGGTTGTATATATATTATATAGTTTTTATGACTTTTTTTCAACATGACAATGTTACACTCTGACATCACAAGAGAACAAACTGTTATACCGTTGTAAACACATTACAATAGAAAAATAAAAGAAATAAAAAGTGCCTCAAATTTTGTGTCTTTTTTCTTTTTTTTTGTACCTATACATGTATATAACAGTCCTATTAAAGTGACTGCAATATATTCTAGCATTCTGAAGTTTAGACAGGAAATTAAAAAAAAAATATTGATCTTAAATGTGTCCATACAACAAAGATTGCTCAACATGTTACATTTTTAGCTTGGTGTACAACCATCACAATTGTTGCACGTGACACATCCGGATCCTTGTTGACAGAATAGAAAGTAGACACACACAATCTGACCTCTGACCTTCAAGTGCAACCTTCACCTTGAGTAGGTTAGAACATGGTTCTTGCATAGTTAAACATGGTTCTTGCAAGGTTAGAACATGGTTCTTGCATGGTGAGAACATGGTTCTTGCATGGTTAGAACATGGTTCTTGTAAGGTTAGAATATGGTTCTTGCATGGTGAGAACATGGTTCTTGCATAGTTAGAACATGGTTCTTGCATGGTGAGAACATGGTTCTTGCATAGTTAGAACATGGTTCTTGCATGGTTAGAACATGGTTCTTGCATGGTTAGAACATGGTTCTTGCATGGTTAGAACATGGTTCTTGCATGGTTAGAACATGGTTCTTGCATGGTTTTAGAACATGGTTCTTGCATAGTTAGAACATGGTTCTTGCATGCAACACATTGATTGTGGTAGAGGTATTTACCTAATATTTAGTCAATCCATAAAGAAATGACAAGAGTTATAAGGCATTAAGTACAACCTTGACTTATAACAAAGGGGATTCTTGTAATGTTTTCAAAAAATCATTTTATAAGGACCTGGTGAAAAGTTCTAAAATCTGAATGGATGACAAAACTTGCTTTGTTAAAAACATATTTTGACTAAAACAACCCCTTGAAACATTAGTCCTCACAAAGCTGTTTCATTATCCAACATGTGTTTGACACTCATGAATATTTATTAGCTTACATAAATGTTTGTTTTGCTTACTTGCTACTCTTAATGAATCTAACTTTATTGTTCCACTTATCAATATAATTATGTGACACTGGTATTAATTTTATTTGCTGTGCTTGCAAATATTGAATTGCAGCACTCACAAATTTTTATTTGTTGCACTTATAAATAATTAATAGCTACACCTATACTGAGTAATTATTTAAATCAAATTGAATTTACTATTCATTTATGGTATAGGTAATAATCCAAGCCTTAAAGGCAGGAGCTACGAACCAACTCCGGGGAAGGTTGGGTGTAGGGATAGTGATTCTGCTTGGCAGTTTTTATTATGGTACACAGCTATTCCAGTAATTGTATGACTGTGTTCCTTCTTTATTTATATAAGTCTTAGTGGACCTTTGAATAATATATTAGCGACGTCATCAGGGGTCTAGTAACTGCCTGAGCGGGTACTATTATGTTTTTGCCAGACTGCTAGAATTAATCTGGGTATAACTGCAGGAAATATTTAACAAAACGTGCAATTTATGTGCTCCAGTCCCTTAAATATGTCTGTGGGATGACTGATTGGTCACTTTTATTCTGAGGCCTTTAGTGCTGTGTAAAATAATGACAAAATATTAATATATTTTACAGCTGCATGCCTCCGGGTTTGTTCTGAAGGCTAGTGGTGATCTGAATAGGTCTACTACAATATTGAATCTGCATGGCCAGCCTGCTCATCTGTGTCAATCTCGAGTATTTTAAAGTCATAAAACTCAAAGTAGGACAAATTAACAAAATAATCTAAATACTTGAGAGGAATCGATTTTAACAATTTTTGTAAAAGTATTAGTCACCATATGTTCATTCCTAAAAGTTTTACTAAAAATCTACCAAGAGGCTGAGGGGGTAATGTCCTGTAACTGTTTTTCTATTCTTAGCTCTTACCACAATCTGTTTCAGAAGATCTGATGATCATTCCTGTAGTTTAATCTTGGGGGTTTAGGAGATATTGTTCAACTAAAATGACATTGTCAGAGCCATCTGATAGCAATAATTGACTTTCAGCCATATAATTATGCTCAAGTGAGCTAAATTTTACATTTGAATCAGCTATGTAAGTCACTTTGTCACTTAGCTTTTTCCTTTCAGATTGTTATATATTTTATTTTTAAATAAGAACGGAATTTCAATTGTAAACTTATTCCAAAGAATGAGGTAAAAGAAACTAAAAATGATGCAGGTTAAAAAAACAGTGGTCTGAAAGTGTACCCTTCAATTTGGTGTCAAAGTCTACATCCTCATAAAATAAATTTGTTGACTGTAAACGCAGGAATAATGCATCAGACAGATAGGTGATACTGTCTGTGAACAATAAATTACATCCTAGGGAATTTATTTACATTAGCTATGCAATTTCTAGAAAGTTGGTTTTTTATGTGTTGCAAGTATAATTGGTTATTAACGGCAACCTTGCCACTTTGCGAGGCCCCTGTGAATAAATTCTCTAATCAATTGAAAATTGATATGATATAACATAGCGATAGGAAAACATCACAGAATATCATGCCCACTGAACAGAATATTTTAAATTTTGTTTATGAAAGAACTTCTCACTAAAGTACTAACTTAACTTACGGTACTTAGACTAACACGGCCCAACAATTGCTCTTCATTTTATGTGAATATTTATTTCATAAGCTTTTTATCTTTTGGTGTCCTATTATCATTTAAAAAAAACAAACAACCCAGAACTTTTATATCATGAAGCTGAACCATTTTAAATGCTACATCAGTTCTTTGGTTATTTGAATATTTAAATAGTTTATATAATATTTTTTATGGAAGTCTGTATACCACTCTTTGTTTGTTACCTTTAAAGCACATTATTTCACATTCACTGCTTACTTTCTACCAATGATAAGCATCTAACTTGCTAAGTATTTGCCCCTTCTGAACAAGGAAAAAAATTTAATTTCCAAGGCATAAGGAGCCCTTAACCTGTAGGATTTCTTAAAGTGGACCCGTTTCATTAATGTAAAATTGAACTTTCACTGATTTTTGTTATAATTGAGTGCAACTTTGTAATTAATGGATGAATTATCTTCATACTTGTACATGGACAATATAACCCTATGGAAAAGTCCTTCTAAATGTTTGAACTGACCTTGACCATCAGCTTATCTTGACCATCAGCTTATAAATTTCTTGAAACAATCCCAGCAACTTTAACTGATTTGGTGACTATCATGAGAATAAGAGTTCACTTTACTTACATATTTAATGAAACATATACCTAGACAGCCAATCACATTACTATAGTGACTGTATCACTATTTATCAACAGAGCACGGATGTACCTACACCTCTAGCATCCCCAGGTGACCCAGTCTAATTTAACATTATCAAATATTCATTATGTTTGTGATAGAATTTCACATTCGAAATTAATTTTTCATTGTTCCATCCAAACGGATGTCATGCTTATCTGGGTGGATCCAGTCAGGTTGCCTCTGTGGGATACTTTTATTTATGACGGCCTTCTATCGGAATTGTTTGGTTGTTTATTCATGTAAATTTATACCTGGCACAGATCTATCCTAATCATAAAAAGTGATTGGTTCATCAATGTTAAACCTTTGTTTACTTAATTATATTGTTCTTGTACAAACTTCAAAAGCACATTAATTTTTCCTCAGAAACATATAATTTTTTCTTTCTATAGAAAAGTAAAATATGAGTTTTTTATAATGTTTAAATAATGTTTTTAAGAGCATCCCCTGAAGAAAGTAGAACTGCATGCGAAATTATTTGTCATAAAAACAGTAAAATGTAAACAAAACATTATTTATACCTCCATACAAAATATTTCATCACTGTAACAGTTTCTGTACTAACTGCCAAAAAATCAACAGAAACAAAAGATGGTTCAAGTCATTGGCCAATGAGGTACTCATTGGACATTATTACACATTTACACCAAAAATAAAATGTCTTTGAGAAATGAAAATAAAAAGCATTTACTGGTCATTATGGGCTTCAATTTCACAAGCCTTCTTCACCTCTATAATAAATAAATACATGTTATGAACTTCTTAATGAGTATATAACAATGAATAAGCGATGTACGACCTCTCTTGACACAAGGGGATAATGGAAAAATGAATAATTAATCAGTCTACTAGTATCATACACTGTATCTCTAGGTTGCCAGGTTTTTAATAACTGAAGCAGATATATACAAATGCTTATGAATTTTAGATTTTTTTTTCAATACACTTTTATGCCTCAGAAATGCTTTTATTTTCATTTTGAAGAAGCTTTTTAATTTTGCTGTCCTATTTAATTTTCCCAAAAGGTACTCATTGGCTTATTATTTTAACCATCTGTTGCTTTTTTTTTTACAACTACTAATAATATAGTGATAAAGTATTTTGTATGGAAGACAAAATACTTCTTAAATAACATTTTGCTTCTTTTATAACAAATATTATCACATTCAGAGCTACTACTTTTTTCAAGAGATAAACATCTAAAATTCTTAAATCCATTTTCTTGCATATCAGACTGGCGTTTCTGTGAGTTTTACCCATGCCGGAAATTTCATCTGGCATGGGGTGTGCCAGATGAATCGCCTCCATACAACAACAGCATTTTTGCGCACTTTATGAATGCATATAAGTAGTGAAAAATTTGTTTAGGACGACATCATTTCGGAGTTGTTATTTAAGTTGTAAGTTCATACGCTACTGTAAGCAAATAGTTACTTGGGAACCTGCCCATGGGTAGGTCCCCTTGGGATGGATATTCTGATCCAAATCGCAACATATGACAGATATTATTAATCTAAACGATATATAAAACTAACGGCTGACCAATCTGAAAAATGAAAAAAAACAAGAGGGCCATGATGGCCCCCAAGTTGCTCACCAGAAACAACTGCTTTTCAGTGTTGGAAATTATCCATTGTCAATATTTTCTGATATTAAATTTGAGCCAATCAAATTAATATGAGCAAACTTGATAAAAGACTACCTAAGAATGCTACAAAGTTTGGTGATCATCCATCAATTAGTTCTGTAGAAATAGACGTTTAAAGGTATTTCTATTTTTAGCTTTAGCTGCCCCTAAAAGAGGCCAATCACAATAATATGAGCAAACTTGATATAAGACTACCCAAGAATGCTACAGAAAAAGTTTGGTGATCATCCATCAATTAGTTATGTAGTAGAAGAAGACGTTTTCTATTTTTAGCCCTAGAGACCCCTAAAAGGGGCCAATCAAATTAATATGATCAAACTTGATAAAAGACTACCTAAGAATGCTACAGACAAAATTTGGTGATCATTCATCAATTAGTTCTATAGAAGAAGACGTTTAAAGGTTTTTCTATTTTTAGCTCTAGAGACCCCTAAAAGGGGCCAATCAAATTAATATGAGCAAACTTGATAAAAGACTACCCAAGAATGCTACAGACAAAGTTTGGTGATCATCCATCAATTAGTTCTCTAGATATAGATGTTTAAAGGTATTTCTATTTTTAGCTTTAGCGGCCCCTAAAAGGGGCCAATCAAATTAATATGAGCAAACTTGATAAAAGACTACCCAAGAATGATACAGACAAAGTTTGGTGATCATCCATCCATTAGTTCTGTAGAAGAAGATGTCTAAAGGTTTTTCTATTTTTAGCCCTAGAGACCCCTAAAAGGGGCCAATCAAATTAATATGAGCAAATTTGATAAAAGACTACCCAAGAATGCTACAGACAAAGTTTGGTGATCATCCATCAATTAGTTCTCTAGATATAGATGTTTAAAGGTATTTCTATTTTTAGCTTTAGCGGCCCCTAAAAGGGGCCAATCAAATTAATATGAGCAAACTTGATAAAAGACTACCCAAGAATGATACAGACAAAGTTTGGTGATCATCCATCCATTAGTTCTGTAGAAGAAGATGTCTAAAGGTTTTTCTATTTTTAGCCCTAGAGACCCCTAAAAGGGGCCAATCAAATTAATATGAGCAAACTTGATAAAAGACTACCCAAGAATGCTACAGACAAAGTTTGGTGATCATCCATCAATTAGTTCTGTAGTAGAAGATGTTTAAAGGTTTTTCTATTTTTAGCTCTGTTGACCCCTAAAAGGGGCCAATTGAAATGACATGAGCAAATTCAAGTGTGACTGTCACAAGGATGCTACAGACCAAATTTGAAGTAAATCTGCCCAGTAGTTTCAGAGAAGAAGACGATTGTTGATGCATGATGAGGGACGCCGGAGTATCCCCCTTTGATACTAATAGCTCACCCCGAGCCTTCATCTCTGGTGAGCTAAAAAGAGATGGGGATGATGGACATAAACAAGTATTTAAAGTTTCTTAGCAATACCTTAAAGGATATAGGAAATAGGTGGGGTGGACCAAAAGTGTGATGCAGACACGCCCAGGTAAGTATGATAGATATGCCTATATAAAAGGGACTCCACTGAGGTTTTTTTGACGTGACAAGACTGGAAATTCCAATAATTGTGTACCATTTGATGCATGTGTAGACCAAAAACTTTTTTGCAATTTTCAATTCATTTCCCCTCCCTGTTTTTCCAGAATCATCAGTTTTATTGTGCAAAATCACCCAAAAATGAAAAGCGTTCCAACACTTTTCACTCAAATCAAGCCAAGAATATCACAAAAAATCAGTTTACAATTTAATTCTGGGCATATTTCTTAATATCTTTTGCAGATTTTTCCATTTTTAGAGCTTTACTTGATTTATGTCAGAATTTTATGTTTGAAGGTTTTTTGACCTCATCTAGAACATAAAATTCTTACATAATTCATGTGAAGCTCTAAAAATGTTCAGAAACTTTATTATGAATTTTCATTTGGTGAACACCAGTAATCTGTTTAACATCTAGTCTTATACAGATTAGTACATTTATTAGCATTTTTGAAATAAAGCGTCATCAAAGGATGAAATTGCACCACCAGTCTATATAATTACATGAACTAGATGTTTAATACATTAATTTATACAAGTCTTGACACAGCACTTACCGCCTACTTAAGTTTTGGCATTTTATTCTTATATAATTAAAAATGAATGCGTCATTTCATTTCGTAAACATTGATCTAAATTTGGAACTACATGTATATATATATAAGCAGTCAGTACTTCTGTATGAAGTGAAGTATAACAACTGTTATGTCACTCTAGCCTCACACCTGTTATATTTCACATTACTGCCAGGTGTTCACCAAATAAAAATCGTAATATAATTACTGAACTGATTTGTTAAACAACCCATACAAAATACAACAAATTGAATGCACTTTTGTATGACATTTTAATGTTAAACATCATTACCAGTTTGGAAAGTTGTTTTTGTCTATAAAACACCCAAAAATAAATCTTATCATGAAATCATATAATGAAAATGGCTATCTTTTCAACATGATTAAGTTTTACATAGCACTTCAAATGAAGCACTCAATATAAAAAATCTTTAACAACTGATGAGAACCACTTTGAGAGTATATATCTGAAGGCATTTAATTACACTTCAGAAGGAGCGTTTTTATGACTATTGTTTCTTGATCCTTTGCTCATTCACACATTGCTAAAAAACATGTCTTCAAGCCCAACAAAATTCATATTACTTCCTACAAGTTTAGACATACTGCATTTTACACTCAATTTTCTTTCTCATTTCTTCCGACTGTATTTGTTCCAATGTGAGCAGTGACAGACCAAGTTGATCTTCCTGACTGAACGGCTGTGCCATCTGTCTTAGAAACCGTTTTGCCACCTGCACTCCCTCGTCTGTTGACAAGTTGCATAAACTGTCTTTAAGATGCTCTTGTATCCACTTTGGTAGCTTACCTCTCTTGTCGGCTCGGGCGAACCTCTTATCTGCAAACACCATGATACCATAGTCAGTTTTCCCTCTCAGACATCGACCAACACACTGCGCCGCATTTCTCATTGCATCGAAAGTCAGGAAATCGTTTTCTCGAATCTGGAAAGTTTCCCTTAAATATTCGAGACGGGCTTTGAGATACCTGCTTTGTGTGTAGACATATGGTACACCGAACATGATAACAGCTCGACCTAGATGATGATCAAAATCGACACCTTCTGAAACTTTCCCTCTTGCTACAGACAGTAGTACAGCTCCCCTACCATTCTCACAAGCTTTCTGGTAATTAAGTAGTGCCAAAGTGGTCTCTGCTGCATCTTGTGTTTCTATAAACAGCAACTTGTGTTTCTGTATCTGGTCAATGATTCCCTGCTCATACCAGGAGGCCACTGTAGACTCCATGTAAATATAGCTTGTGAAGAAACACACAAGACCATCGGGCACTATTCCGCACATTTCAACAAGTAGGTTACCATAGTTACGAATCACTGCAGGATCTTCTCGAGACTCAAACTTAGAACTCATTGCAACCTGATCATTTCCTTTACTGATTATCATTGGACAGATACAAGTCCTTGCTAAAGTCATTGTGAACATTGCCATATTTACTGGACGGAAATCAAGGATCTTTGGGTACATGTCTAAGGGTGAAAGAGTTCCAGATGTAATCACAACACTCTGGAACCTGTCAAAGACCGGCTTAACTGCTATTGATGCATCCAAACAACTGAAGTTAAGGATTGGATTTGAGATAGTTGGAGTTCGGTCATCGAAAGGCTCAAAGATAAGCATGAACCCTTTCGCATATGTGCTGACAAGTGTAGCGAAGTGTGATATTAAAGTTAAAGCCTTGAAGTCAGACACATCTGCTAGTTCTAAAGTACGCAACAATGATGCTAGCCTTTCTGAACAAAATCTCAATGGCTTTCTTTCAATACATACTTTCTGTGAACAATCCTTGAGAAATGATGGCGGAGTTTCAGACACTACATGTTGTACTCTTAACCTTGTCTTTAAATACTCACAAAACCGACGTAGAAATGAAATAAAATGTTCCGCATTTCTTATATTTCCTGGGACTGCCTCTTGCAAAATCTCATCAGGAATGACCGGATTTGCCATTATAACATCTGTTTCCCTGTTTAGATTTGTTTCCTTCAACCCCTCCACTAGCCTCTTATATTCTTCCTTCAATCTTTCAGTGTCAGATTCTTTAATCCTGTTAATGTGACGTGTAAGAGTGTCCATGTTTTGCTGACATCTGTCTAATGTTTTCTTTGTAATCTGAACACTCATAGACTGAATACATACATTATCAATATTGTGCGCCTCATCGAACACCACACACGATTTCTTCGAGAGTTCTTTTGATACAATGTCGGCTATTTTCGGATCCAGGAGGTAGTAATAACTGTACACAACAACATCTGCCTGCATTATTGCATTCCTAGCTAAAAAATATGGACACCAGCCTTTCTTTGCGCCATATTCTTTCAATTCATCCAAGCCATATATTCCTGTAGGTAAAACCGACCCTTTTCCAGTTTTATCCCAATTTTCAAAGAAGTCACACAACTCAATCGAATCATCATTTTTATGTTTGTTTCGGACATATGATACTGTCATTTTCTGACACTCTGCATCAACAGAGGTTCCTTCTAGTCCTTGGGAAGCTCTAGGATGTATACACAGATTCTTTCTTGACGACAAAGCAAGTCCCAAAATATTTTGTTTCTCACATGTTTCTTTTTCATAATATTCAATCAGATTCTTCAACTCCTCTACAACTTTTTCTAATTCTGGTATAGTTCTTGAGCAGTAAATCATTTTGTTTACTTCATCTGGATTTCCCTTAATGTATGCCACTACCAGTGACAATAATGACACTGTTTTCCCAGTACCAGACGGCATTTCAAGGACACAGTGACCTTTGGCATCCAGTGTCTTCTTTAGCTCCATCATGTACATAAACTGTTCTGGGTATATATAGTCATACGGAAAATATACGAGCAGTCCATCCACATTGAGCTTCATGGTCACAACACCTTTGTTTCAGTCTTTGTAAAATATGTCTTTTTTCAGGTAACTATTGACACTCAAGGTTGTGCTCCAAATCTTCACTCACTGCAAATAGAAGAAAACACTTGTAAATTTACTTTCTTTACATAACAAATTTCTGATCATATAAAACAATAGTTAAGAAATACCTTACATCCCTTTAGCAAAAACCATGTTATTTCCAATTAATACAAACTGTCTCTTCACAGCAATAGTAAAAATACAATCAATTTGAATGTGTGATATAAATCATTGAGTAAATTTTCCAATTAATTTTACAAAAGCTACAGCTTTCTAAAATTTGTAAAACTTTTATTTATACCAGTTTTACTGGATTTTTTTTTTCAAAATAAAATATGTAATATGGTAATAGATAACATTAAGAGTACATGTATTCACAATTGCCACTATTATATGTATATGCAGCAAAAATAGCTTAAATTAATTTAATTCCCCATACAATGAATACAAGGTGAAAATTTTGCCTCATACAGGTACAGTTACTGTTCCACGAAAACAGAGAGTGAGCTCTGACAAAGTACATCTATTATCAACTTCTATGGAAAAAAAAAATGAAAAAAAAACAAAACAACAACAACGAAACTAGCACAAAATAAATCATCAAACCAAAACAATATGTATGGAGATTAAAATGATCATCAAGGCCATATGTAATAATGAATCAAAAGTCAAAACAAAATAGTAATATACAAAATTTTGTTAATTTAGACCAATATTGTAATCTTCAAATATAAAACATGCACTGATCATATAAAGTGAAATAATAAAGAAGAAACTCCATCATGGAAAGGAATTAATGTACTGGTCGGGGACCATCAACCGGACACTTTTTGAACAGATTTCATAATTTTTAACTTGGAGACCAAAACATTTGACAAAGTTCAGCTAGGTTCTTCTCCTAACTAACAAACTAGTTTGTTTATTTCTGATTGTATTGGCACTTATCTGAGGCTCGTCAAGGAGGGTATCAAAATTACCTAACTTGTCTACACTACAGTACCATGTGTCCGGACATTTATGTACACAACGTGATTTAATTCAGATAAAAGCTTGGCTGTCTTGGTTTTTTATTTTTAACATGATATACAGTATTTCAGCAACAAAATCTGAAGTTTTGGATATTCTATTGTTTACTCTGCAAATGATTATAGCTGGTATATCAGGTCAGGCATTGCTTTCTTGACCCCCATATTTCAATGTCAACATTCTTGAAATAGACATTAAAATATTGCCATTTCTGGAGGTTGACTTAATTTTAGAAGAAACATGCATTTATTGTTGATAAAAAAGTGACTGACCACCACTGAACAAAGAAAATACTAAATTAAGCATTTTTGGGGCTATCCGGATTTGGTGGTTGTCCAGTTTTGGTGGTCCCCAACCAGTAAGTGTAATGCTTGTTTTTCAATCTATATATTTTGTGATGTAAAATGATACACGTTTGTAATTCTACTAAATAAAATATGTTTAAACTAAGGCCATAGGCCTTGCGGCCTGAGACAGAGCAAACATTACCAAGGCAGACTGTACCTTGGATCAGGGTAGACCCTGACTTAAAACAATGCAGAGCATGTACTAAAGATAAAATTTTAACTTTTATAATTATAGTATATATCTTTTATTATACATTTTAATACCATCATAAACATGTCATGTATGAGGCCTCTATTCTTTATATTCCTGTATTTAAAGTCTAACGGCTTAATCGGCATATTTGAAGCATGCAATATTTTCAATTCAAATATAAATGTCAATTTTAATTAACAGATTTATTTACAACATTTCATACATTATTATAATAAATGACGACATTATCAAGTTATTGTATCCGATTATATGATACAACCGAATGATGGTACACCGGTGTTTCCCGACGCACTAAATATCTAATAAAAGTTACTTGTCACGGACTTTAAAATTAATTTCACTCATGCTTTTTAAAGTTCATGTATGAATATTATTTGTTTTTACCCGATACTTCAACAGAAAATCCCACGAGGAGTCATTAATCAAAATGCTGAATTCGCACGGAAATTATCATGAGAATTGAAATATCATTAATATTGCTCTTTCGAGGTAGCGAACCACTAAATTTATTCACAAGAATTGCCTGACAAATGTGTGCTGAAATGCAAAAATGAAAATAACAATTCATTATATTCCACATCTTTTGCAACATTTATGAATGATAACATTGTTCTAATAAAGTATCATCACATAAATAACATGCCGCGTACGAAAGTAACTACTGGTTGTATGTAGGTATGAATGCTCTAAAAGCAAATAATGAATTTTTTATATTTAATTTTAGTTTAATATTACTTTATTGCTTTCCGTATATATACTTCATAACTTTCTCGAAGGGCCTTCCAATTTGAAAGACTCTTCTATTTACAAATTACAACAATTTTTGAATAATAAGTTCCCCCATGACTTGCAATTGTTTGCGAAAATAACGGTAGGATAATACGTCATCGCGCACCCGCTGAATGCTCCCACTCGGACCATTTTTGCAGAAAATCCGTCGCCTCGAAGATAAAATACAATTTTATTATCAGAAATAGTAAGATTATCAAAAAATCATGTAGCGCACCAAAACATGGCTATAGCCCTTGCGATAATTGTAAAAAAATAATCATAGATTTACTGCCTGGTTTAGACCAGAAAACGGGATGAGACATCTAAATGCTCCCACTCGGACTTTTCCCACAACCTATAAGAAATAAGGTTGAAAACCTTATTGAAAGTTTTTTTGACGTACTGGAACATAAACAGAGTCATTTTTACACATTTTTCTAGATTGGATTAAAAAATTTCTATTCAAAAGTCAGTTTTTCTTTCTTTTGTATAAATTAGGAAAATGCTCCCGCCCGGGCCCAAATAAATACAGATTTGATTCGAAGGTAACACGTTAACCTTTTACCTCATATAGACGTGTTTTGACAGCTTTTTGCCCCCACCTCTTTTTTTGAGGCACCAAACAATGAAAAAAATGCCCTATTTAGGCCCGAAACACTGTTTTTCGTTGAGAAATGTTGTTAAAAAAGTGACCACTTTTTCGGCGCCGCCCCCATCAAAATGGTACATCAGGGGGCTGCCAGAAAGACGATGTGCCCCTTCTGTTTTGGGGGTTTGAAGGGGGGCGGTAGTCAGGGGGCTGCCAGAAAGACGATGTGCCCCTTCTGTTTTGGGGGTTTGAAGGGGGGCGGTAGTCCACCTCATCGCCAAGAAAATTTTGGACATGTGACAGGCTAAAAAAGGCCTCAGATCGATCTTAGGGTAACTAGTAACCGACGCTGAAAAGCCTTTTACTCTATCTCAATTCATTGAGATGTTATAGCACTTTGAAATCAGTTTTGCTGGAAAAAAAACAATGCAAAATAGTGATTTTTCGCAATTTTGAGACGCCCCCTGTTGCCATGGTAACAAGAAATTTACGATTGAGCATGCTGTTGCAGAGGCTATGATCCAGTCAACATTTGTGCCAAGATTCATCAGTATTGAAGCATTTTTTTAACAGTTTCATAGCAGAGTGAACTTGTAACAGGAGGCTTTTCAATGAAAACGGCCATTTTTTCACAATATACTCATGGGGGTAAAAGTAAACTCGCGGGAAAATTCAATGTTTTTGTTTCCTTGTTTTTTTTCCAGATTCATTTAGTTATATGATAAATTGTACAATAAAAATGAACTATGAAATTATTTTCTTAATATTTTTTGGCAAAAAGATTAACACGCAGTGACATTATTAAATTTACTCTATTAACGTACCCACGCACATCAATGTAATTTTAGTCTTGCACACGTCATATGCATTTATGTTTTAGTGATCGGAATGAGTGTATTTTTTTAACCGAAAGCAAAATATACCTAAATCTGGCATATAATATAATTCATTGATGCGACAGCACATTATTTAAGCACTTTGTTTTAAGCTGGGGTTTCCGAAATAAGGCATCATCAACATCATCGTCGTCGTCGACGTCGTTGTCATCATCATCATCATCATCAACATCATCATCATCATCATCATCATCATCGTCATCAACAACAACAATTACATTGAAATAAAAATGTGAGAAAGCGCCCGAATATATTGGGCATGCAATTATTGCTCCAAAACGTCACCAATAAAATAAAAGTCAATCAATATGTAGTGTCCGGTTATAAAAATGTGGACAGGACGATTTGACTTATCGGATTCACAGTCGCGGTTCTCAAGAGTCCCATAATTGGAACTTACTAACAATGATTATGTCTATGTTTCATGTTGTCATGCTAATTTGATAGATGATCGCGTCATAAGTCAATTTCTACGATATGTAAACATCGTTTTGATGTTGAAGACATGCAATATTGCGTTAGTCACGGACATTGCTGTATATATTGTTTACATTGGCTGTATTTATTGAAGCTAATAAACCGATATCTACAGAAGGAACGTGTTTGTTGTTGTCTTATTTTCAGAGCGATTATTTTAAATGTTCCTAAGGAGAAAATTTTATGTGATATCGTAAAACACAGCTTATTTTTCATCGGATGATTTATTTTGTCACAGTCAGCTAATCAGATAGCACCCAAGTTTAACTACAAAGTGGCTGAAGTAATTAGGTTTAAATCTTTAAGGTAAATGATGCGCTACGATAGACGCAGGCAGTTCAGGTAAATTATTCAGATACATATCGATTGACAGGTTGGGTATCAATCTATTGCCTAAACAAATATCTCTATGGTGATCACTAAAACAATTGCGCTCATGCTGAAAGTGCAGGTGCGGATCTGTTAACGTACATGCAAGAAAACCATGCTGACATTTTGATGACATAAAAGAAATAAGGAAGGATGAAATTGTCTGAACATTTTAAAAAATGTTGTTTTTTGTCAGTTAGAAAAGAACGATTTGTAGTTAAAATACCATCATGATTAGTAAGAGAATGAAATTATTTCCCGATATCTATTTTCTATCTATGCTTCATTGAAAATAAGCATTGTTATTTATGTTGGAAGATACTTTTGAAGAAAAAAAAACCCGGTATATATCCTTCATACATGTTTATATATGTAGAAGAATCCGTAGAATAGGGACCAAGGCCCGGATCTATATCCAGTAGTAGTAATTGCTCAATCTTTTGACAATTTGAGAACACAAAATTGTAAAATTTTTAGAAAGATAAAAACACGAATGCTACGAAAAGTGTCATTTAAAATTAAAATTGATTCTTTTTTCCTATTTATGTGTCCATATTGAAGGAAAAAACTTTAAATGTTATGGAAATGTTAAATAGGTAAAGCTGCTAGCTTTCTCGATCTGTTATTGAACATCACTATTCGTTGTCGATACGCACCTGTTCAATGTCCCATGGAGCGTTTCATGCAATATTCACCGCAATTAGTTTTACCTATATTGGAAAGAAATCAATCAAACTTTGCCCACAAACAAGTAAACATTTAGCGGGATGATCTCTTGCTAGCTTACTGGTAAATATTAATCTTTAACGAACAGGCCGGATAATTTTTTAGAAGAAAAAAGAGATAACAATATATATTGGAAAAATACTTTTGCTGGAATAGATGCTTTCATATAAATAATTGGAGAAATATAAAATACTAAAAATGAATAAGTTTAAAGTGTTGGACCCGAAGCCGATCGACGAGGGACCATCTTTCAGGACTCTTCTTGCCAAGAATCTGAAAAGGGACGAAAAAGTAGCAATGAAAATGTAAGTGGTGTTTTATAATCAGATTCAATTAAAAAAAAAATCACCAAGTTGCAAAACATCTTAGATTTCATTATTTCAAATTTGAATATCATAACGTTATTTTATAATTTTTTAGACGAGATGTATATATTAAGTATATGATTAATGGTTAAAGAAAATGAACATTACATACTTAGATGAATTCTTGAAGAAGAAAACAAACTGCAGCAGCAACAAAAAAAAACACCAAAAAAAAACAACAACAAACAAAAAAACCCCAAAAAACTGCAGCAACAAAAACAACAATAAAAACACGTAGTTGAATAACGCAAGGAAATAAAAACATTGAATATAACTGTTATAAACTATAAGAAATAATGATATATGTAGATGTTGTTAATTTTTACAATGACAGATAAATGGCCATCTGTTAATTAAAGGATGTCATAATAAATTATCTCAGGTGCCGCTTTCTTAATATTATACTATCTTTCAGAGTAGAAATAATTAATCTTGTTACAAGAAAAAACAAAACATAACTTGCAGAATAGCCTATAGTCTGTCTCCGACATAAAAATATAGAAAAAATAAGTTCTGAAGATAAATTTTAACACATACTTATATAGTTGCAATAATAATTAAGACACACATTATTGTGTCACTATTTTATGTCAAACTCACGAATAGGGACCCATGGCACTTTATTCTTAAGCCCGATATAATATTGCTTTAACTACTACTAAATTCAGTGTATATTTTTCTTTTTCAGTTTGAAGAAGAATTACTACTCATTGGAAGAATGCAAAAGACATAAAGAAGTCCAGGTATGTAATGAAAAATAATTTTATACGAAATAAATAACGACTTATACATGTATATATTTTATTACAAGTTTTGAAAACGCTAAAAAGTTTTGTTTTTGTTTCTGATATTGAATCATTTAAGCATTTAGAATGCTAACTCGACGTTTGTACGAGTAAATATACAAATGATTTGTCCCTGAAGTAGGACATAGAATTTGGTGCTTATTTTATCATTATTGTTCATGTAGTTCTGAAATTGAGTTAGGTATAATAACGATTTTTATTATTGAAGTGATATGTAAAATCTTTTAACGCTAAAATGTCCGGCTTGTCTATTTGTAAAATGTATGTTTGCTACACATATGTTTAGTTGCATTTTTTACGTGTCGCAAAAAGTTCTAGTATAATTTTGTTTGGGTTTGTCGTTGTCCGTTTTATTGAGAGGGGAAAAAAACCAACCCCCAACAAAAACATAAAAGAGAATCAACAACATAAAACAAAAACAAATTGTTAATAATATGCCGCTAGTACATACTGTTTTTATTAATTTATAATAAAATGAAACTTATGTTTTTGACGTAAACCTAAAATGGGGAAGTTGAAGTAGAGTACCATTGAATCCGAACATTTTTTTTTGCCAAACGCGCCATTCACATTCAGAACGAGAAATAAAAAAAATATGTATGTGTTGACAATATATTTATTATATTTTATACAAAACTATGAATATAATATCATTTACAGGCACTAATGAATTTTGTTTCACAATGATTAAGAGGTTTGAAGCAATTCAATGTATGAAAACGTTCGTCGATGTTGACCCGGTCCGTAACTTTATTCGTAAACAATCTTAAGAATGATGTTTCTTGTGTTGTGTAATTCATTTGCGTTGGATAGTTTTTTGTTAAATATTTTTTGCATGTATGCACGTTAATGATCTTTCTAACCATATTCATCTTACAATATTTGATGAATTAAGGAAAGCCAACTAGTTTGTGAAAAATATAACCGTAAGTTAATGACACGTGATTGCATGGTACCAAAATGCAAAACATAAGTTTCAAATCTCAAAAATTTCATGTAGCAAGCTGGATCAGTTAGGCATTTTTTTCCCTCATATAGTTCAGGTTCCATCATAAGTGAGATATTGCTTTTCTTTAACACTTAATATACTGTGCTGTTCTATTTTAAATTCTGGCCGCCCTCCGTGTTCATACGATGCATATTAAAGAAGGAAAAAATAACCATTAATATAGACCTAGATGTGATATATAAACCTTGCACGTCACTAATGTATTCAAAATAATATTAAATATTTAACGAAAACACTTGCCACTTATTCAATTGTAACAGAAGACCATTTATTGATAATGAAATCTATATAAGCAAGGTAAACAATATTAATCCAGCTACGTTTATGTCAGTTCAGAAACATAGAATATTGCATGGAAAAAAGACATATTTGTTTCAACATTTGTCATAATTCACAATGTTCAGCTTAGTCTGGTGGACGGTAGCTTGCTTTTACCACTGCTACCGTTTATTAGCAGTGTTTAACAAACCGAGTCGGCAACACATTCAATTTTGCCGTTTTGTGCGTTTTTTGGGGGTTCCGTTTTTCTTTATTTCATTTATCTACAGTAAAAGATCTGTAACTACGCAGTGGTATTTAGTTTTTTTACCATTTACCTTTTATTAATAATCATTCTTTTGTCGCGTTATAATGGACATACATTAGAGTTAATTATTAAATTGATTCACACCAAGATCATTGATCAAGTAAACCATTATCTCACAAATGAAAAGAAATTGATACAAACGTTTCCGCAGATTATGATGTTCACATTCATGTCATAAAACATGAAAAAACAGCAGGTATCAACAGATCTATTGTTCCAATCAATATGTCATGCAAAATAAAACATCACTGTTTCTGAGCAGTGTTTAAATATCATAAATAATCCACGAACTTCAATTAATATATCATTATCGTTTTTATTTTACCGGGGAATTGTTTTGACATTTAAAGTATTCTTTTTATTTAATTCTTGGTTTTTTGTCGTTCTTTTTCAGTATGAGTCATATTGCAAACCAACATAGTTATAAAAGTTAAAAACAACAAACAAACAAACAAACAAACAAATAATTGGATTTATTCTTTAAAAGTATTCATTTTGATAGCACTGATGAAGTTTTACCTATTTGAGCCACGTCATGACAAAACCAACATAGTGAGTTTGCGACCAGCATGGATCCAGACCAGCCTGCGCAGTCTGATCAGCATCCATGCTGTTCGCTTACTAACACTTTTACAAGTAGAGAAACTGATAGCGAAAAGCATGGATCCTGATCAGACTGCACGGATGCTCAGGCTGGTCTGGATCCATGCTGGTCGCAAACCCATTATGTTGGTTTTGTCGTGACGCGGCTCATGTTTTTGGAAAGAAGAAACAAATAATGTGTGTAACGCAAAAACTTTAACGAAGCTTTTACATGGTTGAAAAAAATGCACATTCATATAGCACATGTATCTAAATGTAGCCATGCATACAATTAACTGTGATGCGGCCATACATAATATGATGCCTAACTAATCGATGCTGAATATGTCAACAAATGCATGTTATGCACGAGTTAATTAATAAAACATTACACTAATGTGACATTGAATAACTTATAACGTTTGATTGAAAAACATGACATTTTATTACGTTGTTGCTCTGAACAGAAAAAAAACCTCCGCAAGAAAATAACAATGGTAAAAGTGACAAAACACAGATACAATGTACGAGTATATAAAAGCATAACGACTTTTTCTACTCTTACTTTTCTTTTATTAACAGATTTAAATGAGTAAATACCATGTTTGCTTCTGGTTTAAATCGCCATTTAGATATGTTTTGATAATACCCAGGCTTCCTTACTTTTGTTTATAAAGAATCGTCTGCCGATGAAAATCTTGGCGATAATTGATATTAAGCCATTATCTTAAAAAATCCTCAGAAAACATTCATAAAGAGAAGGCTTCTTAATTGCAGTACATAAGTAAATCGGGTATGGATTTAACTGGTCCAGTATCAGCAGTATTTGAAAAATGATATTCATTAATGACACGATAATTACGGGAAATAAAATACGATATCACATAATTAAATGAAATAAAAAAATAATAAAAAAAATAAATAAACATTCGCAATAACATTAAACTACAATATTAAGGAAAGACATAAACATACGGTATCACAAAATAAACGTACAACATGGATGGAAATAAACATACGATATCGTATAATTAAACGTACATTATAAAGGTAAGAAATAAGCAAATGATATCACACAATATTGTTTAGTACAGTAAAAAAAAGAAATAAACATACGATATCACGTAATTAAACGTTCAATATAAAGAAAAGAAATAAGCAAATGATATCACATAATTTAATGTACAACAAAAAGAAAACTGACATAAAGGATGGAAATAAACATACTAAATCATAAAACTAAACATTCAATATAGATAAAGTATCAAATATGCAAGGAAACTGACAGAATTAAACAATGCATATGTCCTAGATATTTTTGTTGCTAAAGCATTGTGACTATCCTTTTCATTTAATTAAAATAATTATAGTTCTTAAACTAGATAATGGTTCAAGTATGCTAACTTCAAACAATATTTTATTGCTCTTTCAGGCAAAAAGAAATTAATATACTTATGTCACTCGTATCTATTGTAAAATAGAAAAATAATTGAGTGGGCTCTGAAGTTGACTCCGATCCACCTATATCTCGCTTTTGTTGTTTCAAATTCACCACGGATTTTGAATTCTTGTATTTGAGGCAGTCACCACTAGGCCACCGCTCCCCTCCTCTAGCAAATGTTGTAGAGAGCAGATATAACTTATAAAGTGCTAGTTCCATCTCTTGATCTGTAATGATACTATATATGAAGGAAAAGGAATGCTTTCCAAGGTATAGATAGAAGTCACTAACAGAAAAAATCAAAGCACAGAAGGCGCTGAATTTGTTTGGGTCTCAGAATGTAAGAAAGGTGCAGGTTGTGAGATTATATGTATAGTGCCACCAATGCTTTCCAGCGTTTTAATTGTAGTAAATTGGCTATAAGACTAATTGCAACACTGATATTCAATCCAATGTTTATTTGACTTTAACAATTTGAAAAAAAATGAGTTACCTTTACTGGGATTTGAACTCCAGACCTCTCGCTTCCTAAGCGAGCCCGAAAACCCTTCAGCCACGGTGAATTTATATGTGAACGGGCTGAAGAAAACCATATTATTCTAAATTAAGGCTTGTAACGACTTTAACTGTTGTTTAACACAGATGTAAATAATCCTGCAGCTTACTATAAGCATTTATATTTATAAAGAATCAAAGGGCTGCAAGTTCTGTGGTATTTTCTGATCTTTGCAATCTAAATCGTACTGTATATCTGTATGCATTTTCCTGTATAGGTTTATTTTTATGTATTATAATTCATTTTGCAAGGCACCAGAGTTTGATACATACGGAATTCTGCATAACTAGAGTTGCATCAAAAAATCATTTATGTTCATTTTTTACGACAGCCACACTTTATCCTTGCATATCATGGCTACTTCCTTAACAAAAACACTTAAAAAAGAATTTAACAAAAAAAAAGTTTCCTCGACTGGGATTCGAACTCGAGACCTCTCACTCTCTTAGCGAGCGCGTTACCACTGTACCACGGAGAATTTATACACAGAAAGTCTGAATAATATCAAGTCATTCTAAATTTAGAACTTCCATTGCATTTCGGGTTTGTAATCCTAATTAATTTCGAGGTATTTTGTTCAGGGTAAACCTGTTGTTTAAAATTGAAGTAAATATTTTAGCGAAAATCCTCTCGCCCAAACAGTCCGACATGTAGAATCTATATATTCCACTACTCGGTTTGTGTAGTATTCGGTAATAAATAGTATTTTCATTGATAAAATCATATTCATCCGCGTAATTTGTGATTGTGCATTTATTGACAATTCTATAAGCCAACGCTATTGTTTAACTTTAAATGCGTTGTAATTTGTTGGATACTTGTAACAAAATAAAATATTTCTTTCTTTTAAATCGCTAGTTTTAAGCTGTTTTGAGAACTACTTGTTGTTAGGTTTGTCGTAAACTTCTGTGTCAGAGATTGAATGTCCGCTTTGTATTTAGTTATTTTCGATCAGAAAATACAATAAAACAATATTAGAAATCTTCGACCATTCGGGAATTACTTTGCTTGAAAATTGATGCGCCTGTCTTTGACCATCTTTACGCAGTGATCTCCCCTGAATTTTTCGGCTTTAGTGTACATACAAAAGGGAAGTAACCGCTTCAAAAAAGTGGACTACTTTCGGCATTTGCAATTAACAACATTAGACTCTGAAATTTCGCTACCATTATTTGTTTGGTCTGACGACCCAAACAAATAAAAACAGCACATGCTTGTAGAATCAGTAAAAGGTTAGGATACATTCTATTCCAACGGTCAGACAATGTCAGTTCATGCCCTATGTTCATGAAAGATCAATATTAAAAGTATGACAAATCAAATGACACAAAATGTCAAAATGCACCCTTTCTTTTTATATTGTTTTACAAAAGAGTAATAAGTATTTTCCGTCATGGAACCTTTGTCACCATTACAGGTCAAGTTCAGCCTGCATATCCGTACAATCTGACCAGGATGTATACTGTTGGCTGACTAACTTAACTTTCATATTCTATCTATGTCCCAAAAAACTGATAGTGGACAATCCCAAACATTGAAGCCGGAAAAAAACAGTTTAAGAAATTCAGCAGGCTAAGAGTAAAACCCTGTTTGTTTATTTGTTTTTCTTCTTCTGGTTTTAACACCTAGTTTAACATGTTGAAACATTTAGATATAAGCTAAAGGACAAATCAGTAAAACACGTTCATGATAAAAAAAGTAAGAAATTTCCTGTTCTATTCACAAAAATAAGAATCTATTGGGGTTCAAAAAGGAAGTATGACGGTAGCACTAGTTTAAACCGTAGCATCATGCTCGAAAAGATTGAATTAATCTAAAGACGGAAATGGAATTCTCTAGTGACGAATAAATATGTATGACTTGCTGCCGTAACGGAAATGAAAAAAGTTATTTAATGTGTTATGCAGGACAAAAGCCCCGTTCTTTGTAACTAATGTACTCCTTAAAGTGCGAACAACCAAAAATAAAATGAATATAACAACAACAACAACAACAACAACAACAACAACTAAAACAAACACAAAACAGAAACAATAACAAAACAAAAAAAACAAAAAACAACGCAACAACCTGTTTAAAGCACAGTCAATTTTTGAAATTTACCTATGTCTTTTTTTAATTGTAGGTAACTCAGGCACTGGACCACAAAAATGTGCAGAAGATGATGGAACTTATGAATGACTCAAATGAACTGATAATGGTATTGGAATATGTCCCAGACAATGTCAAAGGAGTTATGAAAAAGAAGTTTGTAGCAATAAGCTTTTAGTATCAAGTTAATCAAAATATGTAACGACATATGTACCGCCATACTTATTTCACCAAACAGAGAGATTAACCCAAGTGTAACGAAATTATTGTTAACCGAATATCACTTGTTCTTGAATTTTTATTAAATGAAAACTTCAATTATGTATGCTTCCGACGCTAAAGACATAAATTTTAAATTAATACATTAAAAAATACATTTCTTACATTTCAAAGCTAGCAATATATTTTGAATTACCACTTAAGATCGAAATTTCTTTTATTTTTCAAGACAATTGTAGTTTCAGTCTTGGAATATTATAATTGCTTTTATATGACATATTACTTTAAGTATGTTTTTGTTCTACATTAATCCTAAACATTTTCAGCAAGCATATTCTAATGTGATATAAAAATGTATGTTTCGGAATAATTCAACTTAATTAACATTATAATCAGAATAGACTTACATACATAAACTTGGTATCAGGTAGGTCAAGTGTATTTTTTGAAAAGAAATGCATTGGTATCGATACAAACCTACTCAACAAGCTCAAAGATTGTAAGAATGATAAAATCTATGCAATTTATATATTAAGTCCAAATAATTATCTCTAATATCTGTTCTTCGATGACTATTCAAGGGGAGGGCCGTTCACGGAAATGGAGACAAAAACAGTCATGCTTCAGGTGTTCCTAGGTCTGTCGCATTTACATGAGATGGGTAAGATATTGATACATCAACAAAAAGCAAATGTAGAATGTGTTTTAGACGATGAATTTGCAAAAAGAAAGATTTACTTTCAAATTAAAAGAGCAAAAATGTAAAGTTTTAAATGATGAAAAGATATTTAAAATGAAACAAAATGACATGTACAACTAAAAAGGCATTTTAATGTTCAAATGTCATTTTCTGAATAATTCGGCCCCAAATTAAAGCTTTCTGTGTTTCTACATATGGTGATGACGACGATGATGATAATAACGATGGTGAAATGATATGATACACCTCATATCGTTGTAAAGGGCAAATTTAGTTAAATGAGAACATCATTATAATACTTTCAGAAGTTCACTAAGAAAATAATCATGTAAAAATATTTGGAACTGGAAAAGAACAATAAAACTATTTCAAATATTAATGTTATGTTGATATGAAATTTTAACATCCATCGTATCGACCCTTTATTCTGTAGACATTACACTTTTTATGTTATCTTTAGAAATTTAACATTACGTACAAATTCAAATTTTAAACGAACATTAGATAAATTCTTGGAAATGATTTTAAAATAAGCTCTTTTCTTTATTGAATGCGCTAATGTGTTTTAAAGGGTTTATACACAGGAACCTGCGCCCAGAAGTGATACTCTGTGATAAGGAATTGACCACCGTGAAAATATCTGACTTTTCAATGACAAAGTCAGATCAAGATCAGCTTGGAGAATATGACGTTATTCCAGTCTGGTCAGTTCTACATTTTGTTTTTGTTTTGCACTTTAAATGAAATTTTGTAAAGTGGTATTAAAATGAAACATTTGTTATTTGAACTGGGCGTGTTCCTTATATGGCTTTAATTGGCCAGCCAAGAAGTACATACAAGTTATAAAAAATACTAACCAAACTTACTCAGACTGATGGTTCTACTCACGTGCCTGTTCGTGCCTGAAATACAACATGAACGGGCACCTGATGATTTCCTCAACCGGTAAAGCTGAAAAGTCTTCATATGATTACAGTTTTGGCGCGACGTAAATCCCGACAGCAAAATACAACAAAAAAACACGCACAAAACACGCACAAAACACTCTGATTGGCTGTTTGATTTATTATTTTTACACTTTATTCATTTACAAACATCGGCGGTATTACATTTTCTATTCTTTCTTAATTATAGACACACCTTCCAAACTTTAAACATTTTTATTCTTTCGTTTGCGAAGGGGATGGAGAGAGGACATTACATGTATTTGTTTTGCTACAAAAGCAATTTTCTTTACATATAGTTTTGCTTTATTTCCTAACAAATAACTACCTATTTCAGTATTTCTTTTAAATGAAAATTGGATTTTAAGATAAGATAATGCATTTCAGCAAACCTGACATATGAATACACAAAGCTATATTTCGATAACCAACAAAATGATTAGATAAGATAAAATTGTTATTATCCTGTCATACATTTTACAAGAAAGAGGTGAAAACTGGACATGACGATGATGATGTATATATAATTTTCAAGCAATGCATCAAACAAATTTATGAACATTTTTTTTTATATATCTTTGCAGATTTTATTGTAATTCTTTGATTTCCGCAGAATACCGGTATCGATCAAAACAGGTTCTGTTATAAAATATGTGTTGAAATAATAATTAAAGTTTTAATGTTATTACAATAGGCATCAGTCTCCGGAAGTGTTGCTTAGAGCATCGACTTACACGAACAAGATAGACTGTTGGGCAGCCGGTTGTATAATGGCAGAGCTTCTGTTAGGGGAAACTTTGATGCCGGGAACTTCCAACAGTGACCAGATGAAGCTGATATGCGAGCTCATTGGAATCTTTTCACCGGTAACAATTTTTATTCAGTTATAACATTTTTAAAATATATATCAAATTAAAGACAATCTTACTTCCGTTAGGGTTAGCACTAGTAAAATATGATAAACAAGATCAACAAAGAAAGGCGAGTAAGATCGTATTTTATTCATAAACCGACAGACCATTAAAAAGTTCATACATGTAAATGACGTTAATGCATGATATCAATCACAACTAACCAATATATTATATATGGTAAGGAGAGTGGTTTTGGGGGTGATGAATGGGAAACCGAAACCGTAGGTTGTTGGTTCGAATCCTACCAGTTGTGAGATTCTCTTTCGACTTCCATAATCTACACTTGTGCGATAAAGGTTTTGACGCCCATGAAGTAGTCATATAGCGTATCTTGTGTATATCTCGGTCCAAAAAATGGGTTTGACATTAATAGGAAAGCATCAAACAATAACATGCTACAAGCACTGACTACTTTTATTTGATGTACGTTACATATAATGTCATTCGATATATCTCGTTTTTCATATATCTTTAAAACATTAATTTGTGCCTTCGAAAATGAATAAACTTTGACACTAACATGGAAAGTAAACACAATAAATTCAGATGTAAATAATTCATACGATGAAATATATAAATAAATAAATAAATATGAACATATTTGTAAAATTAAAATACGATTCATTATTTTGATGATTGTTGACATCTTAAAGAATTAAAATTGTTATAGTTCTTGATAATGTAATTGAATTGGAATTATAATCATATTTTCACCACACGTTTTAGCGTCACTGGACTGAAGGCGCTAAACTCCGACGTCTTCTACAATATCGTCTCCCTGATGTACAAGGTAAAGGACTTAGTGGAGCTGGTCTCCAGGCAGGTAGTGATGCAAAGGGTCTTATCATGAACTGTCTCGAATGGAATCCAGACATAAGAACTTCAGCTAAAGAGGTATTTGTGCTTAATGATGCCTTTCACATTTTAATGGATTATGCCATTTAAATATAGAAGATTTTTGATAGATTTAATAATTTCTACTCCTGCTGTCTTTTGAACATGTATTTGCACACGTACACGAACATAAAATTAACTGTGTAATTATGGCTACCAAGGGCTATTGAATTAAATTTTGCAAATATTTTTTTACAATAAACTGTGTTTCTGACTTTTATGTATATATTTCCATTCCATTTTCATTTGCATTCAACTTTTAAATATGCCTTTCCTAATCAGTTAATTAATTAATAGCAAGTCATGCTCTGTTCAGTAAAAATATATCTTTTCAATTTTGAATTCAAAATATGAAAACAAAGATTAACAAGGAAGGGGTCTTTCATTGAACGTCTCCCCCATCGGCGACGAACCATTCTTCTCGTAAAAATGTGTTTATCAAAACATGCTTATTTCAAATAGTATCACTAACTGTATAATTTATATATGTAACATAACTGAAATGCATGACTAACACACACATTTTAGGTGCAATACAAATTAAAGCGGTGCTCATGTTGGCGTAGATCATATTTCATCTACCGGCATAACTCGTAAAATGATAGCATTATTTCGAGTTTTTGAACTTGTATATCGATTATAGGGAATGAATCTTACACCAATTGATCGTTATCTTTTTTTTGTATTTGGTATTTTGTTTTAATTTAATCTTTTTACATAATAGGCGATTCGACATGAGTTTTTCAAGTCAGACGGAGAGTTCAAAAACACAAATGAATATCAAGAAACTATGAAGGGTATAGGACTAGAACTATCTAGCTGGAAAAAGAAGTGGGAATCGGATCTAAGCAAGGGCCCTTCAATGGAGTTGGATAACATTCTGGACAAACTCTACCAAAAACCCCAGCACAAGGACAGAAACAGCAACAGGCAAAAGTTTACAGGGTTTGAGACATCTAATCCGCTAATTGGATTTAGCACTCCTCGTGATAAAAAGTTTCAGCAAATGCAGCAGCAACAACAGCAGCAGCAGCATCAGCAACAATACTCACAACAACAATATCCACAACAACAGCAACAACAGCAACGACAACTACACCAACATCAACAACAAGAGCATGGTAATGGTTACGATCAAACCAGAGATGACCCATTTCAGTTTCAACAATCGAATGGTATCAGTCATCAAGCACGGACATACCCACTTGACACACAATATCCTGACAAGGCTGCTGAGAAGTCTCAGTTCGAGGAAAATTTCTCCCCCAGAGAGGAAAAACAATCTAGACAGAGCATATCTGGCGAGGATCCCTACGTTGCACAGGATGCACAAATGTCTTCGCGGCAATATCAAGATCCAATTTTTTCCACAGATGGTCATATGTCCCCTCCCCGACAACGACGCAACAATGAATCTCCTAGACGCAAACAAAAAGACCAGATAGGCTTGCTTGGTGGCGATCTTGATGATGCTCAAATAGAACGTGAGCAGAGGGAAAAGAGGAGAAGAGCGGAACATCTCAAAAACACGAACAGTGTGAAGTACAATACTATTTACGGAAAAGGGTAAGACAAATAAGATGCAGTTATCTTGCTGAATTTGCTTTATTCTATGTTTAGAATTATACCCAGCAGAATTTCCTTTTGTTTAAATAAAACCTGTTTTTCATCTCCCCTAACACATCACATTAATCGTTTCAAAAAACACACCAACTTAAGATATCGTACATGGTGGAAGTTTTTATCTTTTAGCAACTACATTGTACCGAAATGAATATAACGTCAATTTAAGTAAATGTCTCAATTATTTATTTAAATGACATTTAACTAGCCTATGAAACTATTGTAGTTTCAACTTAATTAGCTTTTATAAATTTTTAATAATTTACACAGATGTCAATAAAGTTTATCGGTTGGAGAAAAATATTATTCTTACTCTGCAATACTAGAGAGTTCACATTTCCATTTCATTATCTCGCATGAACAGATTCAATACTGTCTTCTGTTTGCTCTGTTTTCATTTCTCTTGAGAGATCAGATTCTTCTCTATATATTTTGTTTATACTATCAGGATATTTGGTGATGTAGATCAACCAAAATTTGGAGGTACCCCTACACGTTCAAGGCGAGGTAAGCAAAAAATTAAGCTTTTAAATAATGTCGTGCAAGGTTTTAGAAAACCAGGAAATGTTTTCGTATTTTGATAGCATTTTGTTCTGTTTTATATTTTGATGACAAACATGGTAACCTTGGTGAATTTTGTTGTAAGCAGAGAAGTAGTGCATATATATATGACTAAATTGACGTGTTTGTTAAAAATGAATTCGGACACGGTAATTAACTTACAAAGTATATTTTGTAAATAGCCAATATCATCAGTTTGCGTATCCATATTCCTGAGGACCATATCTCTGAGGATCAGGGAATATTATAATTACAATACTAGATTTATCTTGACTATATTTCAGCGAATAATGATGCTGGGAAGTCTGATGATCAGAAACAACCGATAAGGACAAGGTACGATGACTTTCACAGTAACTACCAACCTAGCTGGGCGGAGAATAAAAAACAGCCCATTAGCAATTAATCCATCTGTATGCATGGACACACCCTTATGATATGCATGATGATATATGAATAATAAAAAGACAATGTTAGTTTAATTAAGGCCAAAATTTGAAGAAAATAAACAACATTTTTTTTTTTGTTAAATGTCAGTTTAATTGTTCACTATAAGTTGTGCCGGATACTGATTCTGAACAAAGTATATACTGTAGCTTTTCCATAATACTGACTGGTCATTTTTATGCTCCCCGTAGGGTGGGCATATAGTCGCTGCTTTGTCCGTCCATCTGTCCGTCTATACGCTTTTCTTGTCCGGGACATAACTTTGAAACAACAAGAGGTATCAATATAAAACATTGTAGATAGATAGATCTCATTTAGTAGGTGTGCAGTGCTCAATAACCGTAACTCTGCCTTGCCTAATTTTTGAATTATTGCCTTTTTTATTTTTATACTTTGAACATTGTCCGGGACATAACTCTTAAAGTATAAGAGATATCAACATGAAACTTTGTGTAGGTAGATAGATCTCATTGAGTAAAAGTGAATTGTTAAAGAACCATAACTCTGTCTTGTCTAGTCTTGGAATTATTGTCCTTTGTTCATTTTGACACTTTGAACTTTGTCCAGGACATTACTCTAAAATTATAAGAGATATCAACATGAAACTTTGTAGGTAGATAGGTCTCATTAGGTAGAGGTGCAGTGCTAAAGAACCATTACTCTGCCTTGCTTTATTTTGAAGTTATTGCCCTTTGTTTATTTTTACTTTTTGACTTTTGTCCAGGACATAACTCTAAAATTATTAGAGATATCAACATGAAACTTTGTAGGTAGATAAATCTCATTGGATGAAACTGCAATGCTAAAGAACCTAAACACAGCCTGGTCTGAGTTATTTCCCTTTGTTCATTTTTACACTTTAATTTGTACCCGGGACATAACTCTGAAACTATAAGAGATATCATCACAACACTTTACAGATAGATAGATCTCATTCAATAGAAGTGCAGTGCAAAAAACATAACTCTGACTTGGCTTATTTTGGAGTTTTTGCCCTTTGTTCATTTTTTTTTTGTACTTTCTTGTGTCCAAAACCTCGGGGAGCATCACCCGGTTCAACCGGTTCTTTTTCTCAATTGGTCAATACCTATGTAGTAAATACTTGTAGTGTTTTGTTGACACTATATTAAGGGAACGCACTGTTTAAATATGACATTCATCAAAAATGCCTTGGGATATGATAATATCCATCAAAGTATTGTACATATAAACAATTATTGATAACAGTAACTTTACTAGCGATTGATTACTTTTCTAAACTATGCATGAGTACTCAATATATATGATGATTTATTATCTACACGTAACAAAATCAAATGACCTGTATTAAACAATGTATATTTTTTCAATTGCACAATATTATATTTTATCGTTTCCTTACAAGTTGTTTTCCTTTTGCATTATTGCATGGTTTACTTAATTTTTCTTTCTAGCTATTTTTGTTTTATTTTAGATTTGATTTTATATATGCCTTTAGTTAGGTTTCCTCTGCCTACATGGATATCAAGCATGTAAGTTTTATGATTTAAGCTTCATTATTTAAAATGTGTATCTACTTTATCATTTTGACAAGTTCAAAAAAATCTAATTCAATGTCATTTGCTTATTTTCTCTTCTTTTCATTTTCATTTCAACGTTTTGATAGGCTAATGTTATTTTCAAATCATGATCAATATTGCTGTAAAATATAAACATGATTTCAGACACACATTTTGGTTAACAACGTTTAAATGCGCGTAAATAATGTACACTAAGTATTTTTGATCAGTACCAAATTTTTATGAGCATAGAAAATATACACATTGTTTTTCAAAATACCAAAAAAACAAAGCTTATTGATATGTTCTTCTTAAAATATTTTTGTAATAAATAAATAAACAAATCAAACTAGGCTTTTTTATAGAAAACAAAAAGAAAGTCGAAAATTTTCTGTACATTTTTATATAATTTTTATGTAGTGAGTTCTTAAAATATTTTGATATATTCATAAACAGTTGTTATAAATTTCAAATGTTTATTATTGTTTATTTAGTAAATATAGTCTATGTTGATATTGTAGTGGTTTATTTTTTTCTTTCTCCTCCAAGTAGATTAGTGACTCTAAATTATGTAAACATTCATTTTGTTCTAGATTTTATACATTTCCTAATTTTGTAGCATTTTCTCATGAATTTTCTCCAATAATATTTTAATTCCATCGGATTAAGTTTTATAAAATTACGTAGATACGGAACATCATAAGTAGTTGTCACACTGCTTTATAAATTAACGTGGATATACAATATATTTCGGCAAATTAAAAAAAATAACGTGAACATAAACGTGGACAGCGTTGCAAATGGTGCAATTTGTAAAACATATGGGGTGACGCATTGTGTTTGAGTATAAGTTCATTAGCATCTCTGCTGTTGAGCTTATTTTGAAAAAAAAATACTTGTATATGTATCTTTTTTAATATATAAAAGTCTGCCCTGTACCATTAATATGCCAATGTTCTGTATATTATTATGGTCTTATTACTTCAATTACCGACAAAACAAGACGGCAGCCCAGGCCTTATTAACAATTCCTTATAAAACTCAATACGGAACATATGCCAGTATATTATTTTGAGATAGCCGATCAAATTAACATGCTTCTTTCGACTTGTACCTGTAGTACAAAAATCATTTATATAGTTTATTATTTATCCTTTGTAGCTTTGTTATAACGTCAATCATTTTTCTTGAAGTTGACAAACTTAATTTTCTCTTCTTTGTTACATTTGTATCTGCATTTCTGCTCTAGACAATTATTACAATTTAGCTTAGTACATATTGCTTAAGCTTTTATTTCTTCCTTTCGTGTCTTAATTTTTGCCCCTAAGCTATGATATATCTATAAAAATAGATACAAAATGAAATTCCGATAATTTGTATTCAACTGATCATACCAATACTCGGCGTCTTTAGCATTGAAAAAAGTGTATTGTTCTTTAGAATAATATTTTCAAACCAAATAAAAATAAAACCTACATATAAAAAATTTAACTTTAAAAGCTAAAGATTTCAAATTAATTAAAGAAAATGATTTGATCAATTTTTGATACTAAAAACAGACAACAGAACGATGACGGACTCAATATGACGAATGGATTCGGTCCAACTTCAGACAATACCCAAATGAATGCTAGAAACCAACCGCGTCTTAAAAGAATGGACACTTTTGAAAGGATTGCAGCCATTGATCATACAAAGAGATCTGAGCAATTGAGACAACAGAACCCAGTCAAACAGAGGGACAAATACGGCGATCCATTCATGAGGTGGTTAATTTTTAACCCTTATCATGCTAATTATCATAAATGGACTTGACTATCTTTCAAAATTGATAAGACCATTCATAATTCAAAATATGTACTTACAATATAATTGTTATCTAGAATTTTGCATATTATTTCAAAGAAGCTACATTTCACAATGCTTAAACGTTGTTTGTATTTATAGACGTATCACGGAATGTTGCTTAAAAAAGCTTTTTTTTTCACCAGAAATTTGAATTGATAAATTAATTTGTTTTGTTCAAATACATAAAACTTACATTAAAATATGTTCTAAATGTTAATCATGTGAATAATTTGTTCAATGTCATCAACAGCTTATTTATGTTTTATGAAAATATTAGCATCTTTTTTTATGAATTTACGGTTTTGTTTACAGCCAATTGCTTGGACAGAAAATGCCACCGAAACAGCCGCCCCAAACTTCACAATCACAATCAAACTTTGGAGGTTAGTATTTTCAAACATGATAAATTGAAAATTAATTTAAATGTAATATGGATGCTAATGTAGCCATGTTGGATACGAAAAGCAAGCGAGAGAAAATTTCGTGTTTTGATTTTGTGACAACATTTTACTTATTTTGTCTTTTGCGCGATTTCATGATGTAACTTTCTGAAAATGTCTTCATTGTTTTTGTAACATAAGCTGTTAAAATAAAATCGTGTTGTTAAGATATTTAAAATAATTGTAAAATTTAACTTTAATTAACGTTACAGATTGATGTCTTATCAACCATTTCTTTACTTGTATGTGTTAAAATAAATGTTTTCTATTCAAGGTTATGGCGATAATGGAGAATTTGGAGGAAGTGGAAAGTACACACCAAGCTGGTCAGCTGACAAGCAAATGAGGACTCATTAAATTTATTACCAGTACATTTTGTACAAAACTTATATTTAAATACTGATCCACCTAGTCAAGACAACATTTTTTTCGGAAAAAGGTCAACAGTTCGTGATTTAGATTGGCGTGTCTACATTAATTATAGATTTTCAGACTTTGCACGTTTTATGTGCTTAAATAAGGTAAACCATGTATTCGTAACGGAGCGTACCTTAGATTAAAGAAATAGTTCAAACTACAAAGTTCTGGAATTTTATCAAAAAATGAACTTGTATACGTCCGAAAATAATTTTAAGATCCTTTGCTTTTCCTTAAAAGTAGGTAGTGTATCTGCTACAAATTAAAGAGCTTTTATATATATTTTCCTTTTTTCGTTAAAGGTCCATTATGTCACAGAAATGCTTTACATTTTTGTTTCTTATTTTTTTAATTTTATTGATGTTCTAAAATAGTTTCCGAAAAAAACAAACAAAACAACAACATTAATTGGAAAATTACCAGGGCCATCTTTAGCTTCTGTTGATATTATGTAATAATAAATACAGTTATAATGATTTAGTATTTTATAAGGAAGTCAAAATACTACTGTGTTAACATTTTTCAAATTTTATGACAAATAATGTCACACTCAGCGCTATTTTCTTCAGGTAATAAGCCTCTAATAAGTACTAAACCATTATCTAAACATGTTGAAACTTTTGTTTGCCCTTTATTAAGAAGAAAATGTTCATTTGTTTCTGAAGCATAATGTGCCTTTTATTTTCGATAGGAAAATGTATTTTGCTGTTAAACATATTGACTGTTAATACTTGCTCATATTTATAAGTCTATTTATTGATGTTTTTATTCATAAATATGAAAGTTTATAGTTGCGATGCTTTTCTTTTCAATATCTGTTATTTTTACAATTTCTCAACTTGTTGTATACATATCAAGAAAATGTGATAGGCCTTGCATTTTAGAATAAATATATTTTTCTGACTCTATGAAAATATGTTTTTTATTTATTTCAATTAAAAGTTTGATAAACCTTCACAAAATTCTTAATCATAGATACTTTATTGCTGATGTAAAAAGTGACCAAATATAGTTTTATTTTGCAAGTATTTTATTTCTCTGATAACATAATATCCATGAACTTTCAATTGATAAATATACATTACCGAAAGTATTCAAATATATGGTATTGCTGGTAAGGGGAAATCCTGTACAGAAAAAAAAATGATATCAAAGAAACCAATAATCCCATGCCTGTTGTATAGTTTCGGTATCATAATGCATTGAAAAATCGTTAACTCTTACTACAATGTTTTTGTCCACCTTTCAATCTGGATAAAATATCAAAATATGCAGTGATTGAAAAGCGAACAGTACAGACCTTAATCAGATAGCACGGATGTTCTGGCTGATCTTGGTCATGTGTAGATTCTGTTAATGTAAGGTTAAACTAACTAAGCCTTAATAAATGGCAGTCCAGGGCTGCGTTTCATTGAAAGACCTAGGTCTGAAATGAGTCTTAAGACCAAAAGTGAGAAAAAGTTGCGTTTCAAAGAAAATGTCAAAACTTATGACATCTATGTTATGTTATGTATATATCAGAATAGCAATGCTGATAGGCATTTACACATTGCGAGTAAAAGGGTATGTTATTGTCTTTTTTTAAACTTTTCTCAGGAGAATTTATTTAAGGTAGAACGCGACACTTTGCGAACTTTCGAGTAGCGTCTTGAAAATTGGCATGCAGAAAGTTGACCATATTTCTGATTTGATTCCGTTGATTTTATTCCAATAGCTTCAGCCAATTTTTTGTACACATGACGCCAAAGTTGACCATCAAAGCCCGTTTTTGAACATGACGTCGTTGCGTATCCTTGGCAACTGTTACGGGTATTTCAACGCCATTGGCAGACAAAATATCCTAAATTCTACAGCATTCGACGGAAATTATTGAAATAAAATCAACGAAATCCAATTAGAAATATTGTCAACTTTCTGCATGCCAATTTTCAAGACGCTACTCGAAAGTTCGCAAAGTGTCGCGTTTTACCTTAAAGTCTACAAATAGGCGGTGGTAGGGGCGTGATGGATGTTGCACTTTTTCATTATCCCTCATGTACAGACTCAATCAAACCGAGTCTGCTATTTTTCATGTTATTTTGTTGTAATTAATGCTTCCGAGGAATCACACTTAATCCAGATTTTTGACTGAAAATAAGTTGTCAAAAGTTAGTTATATGTCTTAGGACTAAGGATACACTTAGGACTTTCTGTTAAACGCAGCCCTTATCGAAAAAAAAATTAGCGCTGTTTACACCGATTTTTACTAATTTTTGTTGGAATCCTAAATCTTCCTTACCGTATTTATCGGTCATATATAAGCAAACCTTTTCATACATGGCAATTTTTTTCAGTAGTCTTCTTTTATTATACTACGTAATTTTATCGATGATAAACGATTCCTAAATACTAAAACTAAACTTACCGAAAACTCAACCTGTAAGTATAAGGTTAATAAAGGATTTTAAAACACGATGTAATAAGACTTTAAGAGACGTTTCTATATATTTTATTGAAGAAAAATAAACATACAACATACACATGAATCGAGCATCAGCTACCTGTATTTATAATTTTTATTTATATATTTAACTACATAAATAATGAAAATAAAAAAAATCTTCATTTATTATTTATATGCGGTAATAAAAGACATAATACATGTATAGATATTCAATTGATTTTATTATCAGGAATATTGCGTTCTTACATCTTACAGGATTAAAAAGTGTATAAAAATAGTAAACACGTTACCACTTTATTTTAAAACAACCAACAATTACAATCAGACAAACTGAAACACAATTTGTTTTATATATAAATGAGATATGATCAAAATGTAGGCGTGCAATCGTTGTAAGAATACGAGTTTATCCTGTTCTGAATGCATTAAAACAAGTTTTTCACCCTTTGATTTCAAAATTTGAATATACACAAACTATGCATGTATACTGATTATATAGGAGTTTTAATGCAAAAAAAATCTACAATAACAACAAAAAGTGTAGAAAAAATGCACAGTGTTTTAAACAATCACTTTTCTCGTGCTTTTAAAACGCATCGAATCAAAAAAAAAATGTTTTGATTCGTTAAACACAACATGTCTCACAAACACATTAAATTGTACAGAATTTGACAAACATATGAATCAACATGGATCTATTTTTGATTGTCACACGATACATTTAGACTTATTTCTTCATCGATTTTGTCGTCTGATAATGTGTTACTGTAATCAACACCGAGGTACAAATATCGCCTTATACTTTCTGGTAGAAACGGAAACATTTTATAGAACAGCGGACTCATCAGTTTACTGTTCACTTTCTTCGGATTTAACGGGCCTGTAACAAAGCTGATAAATAAAGACACTATGATATTTATGATCATTCCGAAACTTGCATACCACATATAGGACATTCTGTAAAAGTCATAAACTCGTGGCTCTTCTTCAACAGTTCCTATGGATACAATAGTAGTGTTATTAGGTAAAGTATGGCTATTAAATGACAAATCAAGCGATGTGTTATATACTAATTGAGAATGGTTAATGCTGTTTATCCATCTACAACCATCCGTTCTCACTGGCAATGGCTTTATTCCCGAAGGTCGATTAATCTGTGCACCTAACACAAGCCAACTAACCATTCCCAAAGAAGTTATTAAGCCTATTAATGCACCCGTCTTATTTGTCCACGGGAATATCATACCAGCAATAAAGCAGCCAAATACAGGACCTGACAGTATGGCATACAATGAATAAGAAAGCTGTAGTGCAACGACGCTGTTAGCCTGTGAAATAATTACAGCAACAGCAAAATTTGCAAATCCAAACATAAGTACCATTAATTTTGAAATAAACAACTCTTTTCTTCCGGACAACGATTTGCAACAGAAATGTTTCAGGTAGTCCTCAGTAACGACTGCCGACATAGCATTGAGTCCTGATGACATGGAACTAAGACTTCCACTAAATACACTTGCCATAAATATGCCTGGAAGTCCTTCATAACTACCAAGCACGTCAAGCACCATAAGTGGAACAAGTTGGTCGGGTTTATCAACAAGTCCTACTTTTACTGGGTCACATTTGCTATAAAAGGCAAACATGACAACACCGAGAAGACAGGCTAGTGCATTGATAACTACAAGAGCTGGAAAATTTAACCATAGAGCGGTCTGGGCTTTTGTCAGTGTTGGGAGGGAACATTGGCGTTGTACCTGAGCTTGGTTCACTCCATATAGATATGACCAAAATAAACCTCCTCCGATAGAAACAGACCACACTGAGTGACGTGTGCGAGGATCAGGTGAAAAATTTGCTAGTTCAATTCTACCATGTGTACTTGCAGTTTCCCATGCTTTTGTAAGGCCACCAGTTCTATTTAATCCCGTGATAACTAGAGTTAAAAGTCCAGCAAACATAATGATAAGCTGGAGGCTGTCAGTCCATAATACTGTCTTTATTCCGCCAAGCATCGTGTATAGTGTGCAAACAGCAGAAACGCCAATCATTGTTCCCCATAATGATAAACCAGTAACTGCTTGGAAAGACAGGGATGGAACATAAAGTATAAATCCCATGTATATCAGTGTTTGAAGTATAAACATAATTGAAATAATTACTCTTACGACTGTACCAAAACGCATTTGTAGATAAGCCAAGCAACTGGTTGTATTTAATGAATAAAACACAGGCAAGAACACATGGGCAGCACCGGCAGTTGCAATCAACGTTCCACAAATCAACCAGGCATACATCGTCCCAAATTTATAAATCTCGGCCGGAATTCCAATTAGAGTAATTGCCGACAAGAACGTGGCTGCAAGTGAAAGACTTACGGGTATTGGGTGCATCTGTCGGTTTCCAAGATGAAAGTGTCTCACGTTTGAGATTTTTCTATCTTTATATGCATGATAAACTCCTATGAATGTTGAAATCACGAATAATATCGAAAACAACACATAATCCAATAAACCAAATTCTCGCTTGACTCCGGCGTGAATACTTATATCTTCATCCATTTCTTTTGTCCGTTTGGAATGTAACAAAGATTGATATTATGAAGTTATATTTTACACACTATCAGTAATTATATACATGTATAATACGGCGTCTATATATCAAAATACATTGAGATAAATCACAAACTTTTATTAAATGAGTTTAATATATAACACAGCGTAAATACGTGTGTGCAGGACGCGTATCGATATTTATACTACTATTAGAGTGTATTTACTCTTGATCCAGTTGTGCACAAAGCTTATAACACACTTTCAGAAAATAAATCTAAATTATATGATTGTTCATCAATGTATAATATAGTTACGATAAATTTTGAAGATACAGAAATGTTCATAAAATCCTTTAATTAATTTAAAAAATTAGTTTGTGTCATATATTTATTTTGGAAAAGAGGACATTACTCGGAAGCAAAGAAAACAGAAAAAATCAGGACTCTTTTTGATTAAGTCTGTTCAAGATAGATAATGAAAATGTTATTTATCTCTACTTCTATTACCTGCCTTTGTGGCAATCAACCTTAAGAACTTATTGTCCTAGAATCAATTATCCCGAAGGACGAGAACAAATACAACAAAATTGAGATTAAATATGGGGGGATCTTTTACAGCTGCCACACAACTATTAACACCTGCTCACAAATGAAGCTGACTTTCGATCTCATTTTTAAAACATTTCAAGGATTAGCCAACTTTCCTTTAGCCAAATGAGCTTTGGAGCTGAAAATAACACATTCCTTTCTAAACTATAATAACCCAGTACATTTATAGTATTAAATACATGATTTCTTTTGTTCAATTTATCATCGAAATTTTGTTATGTCTGATAATGTACTAGGGTTAAATGCTGCCTTGATATTAATTGACAAAATTTCATTTCTATGTATCTCGTCGTGCAATTTATCATCATGATGTATGTAACGTTTTAATTAAATTGTATATACAAGTCCCGACTATTTTTCTACAAATCAAATTACTACTGTGCGTTTGCAAGAAATACTTATTTTTAAGACAAGCAATGGAAATGACGGAAGAATAAACATACACCAGTATATATCAATGCTGAAGATATTTAAATAATCAATCTACGTTTGTATTAGAATACCTATCTTTGATTTGAGAAACACATTAAATTCAATCTTGACTTTATAAAATCGAAAACAAACCCCAACACATTTTAAAATGTTTCGGACAAATAAAGATATAACCTAAAGTATTCGAACATGCATATTAATGTGTACATATCGGTTGACAAAAGGCACTTGACATCTAGGAAAACGTTCTTTGAAAGTGATGTTGAAATCGTCACGTTGACAATCTTGCTAGAACTGAATTCAATAATACTCGCTAAAGGAAATTTTTTACTTGCGAACAGTGACAAACCGGATTTGTAGAGCAATATTCATGGAGAACAAAACCACTCATTATGACATTATCATTCTAAAACACTTAAATATGTTAAGTACCCCAGAAAAGGTTACTCAATTCCGCTTGAACAATCTATACTCGTATCGTAATAGACATATAAAAACAACATCATCTATCACTTGAACTTAAACGGAAAAGGCACTTTAATTTCCACGTTGAGAATATTTGTTTGGGAAAACCCCTTTCGCACACATTTGTACAGGAACTTTAATATCTAAATTACTATTAATAGATTCTAGAATTAGGGGATTATGATGCTAATTTCGTCTTGTAAATGATAGTGGCAAGCCAATTATAGAAATTTCGTCACCTTTTAAAGTTCATTGAATTCTGAAAATAGTAGTGAATAATCTATAAAAAGACAACCCGGAAAAGTCAAATACAATTAGATCGACATTGACATTTTAAGATAAATCTGTAATATATGTTTCAATACGCAATATGTGCACACAAACTATATTATTCTTTTTAAAGGGTATTAACCTGTATCTAATGAAATATTTTATTTAATTTATAGACAGTAAAAAAGGGTTGTTTCCGTAACCTCGTGGTCGATTCTCGAATAAAATGAAACATAGAACATGTCTTTTAGTAAACACCGTAAACAGACTTAAATGTTCCGGAACAAAATTTTTGCTGCTATTTTAAGTAGGATTTCAACAATTCACCAACGATTTCACACATGCGCCATACGATATTAAGGAGAAGAAATATGATATAATTAAGTTACATGTACACGTTACTTTGCATAGATATATTTAAATTGTATAAACATATGCTTCAAAAATTATTCTTTGAATCTTCGAAAAAAAATCCTTTAAAAATAAATGAATGTAAGTAATAAGTTTTATTTTTCCTTGAAAGCAAATAAAAACAAAGGTTTTAACTCGCTTTGATGAGAAATCATAAAAAGCAACATCAAATACGCCCCCTATCACCGGCTTAAATCACCAAAACATAGAGTATTGAAATCAATGTTAAAGGCCGAATAAGCTCGAAATCTTAACATTTTTTATTTCTCAAAACGTTTATATTTTTGGTATCTTTTTACAGTTTTCAAAAAGTTAATCATTGGCCATATAGATGAACTATATTTTACTTTTTTTTGGCAATTGGTATAATTATAGAGTATATAATAATAGTATAATGGTATTTTGTATGAAAGTCAAAATACTACTTGATTACATTTTGCTATTTTAGGACACAATATTGCACATTTTGCCCTACTTTATTCAGATTTTAACATCTAACATACTCTTAATAGATTTTAGAGTACTATTTAACACATATTTTCTAAAGATTTAAAAAAAAATTAATTATTGACACCTAATGTGCCTGACAAATTAATCTGTACTACTTAGTATTTTTATGTTTTGTTTTATGAATTTCTAAAGCAACGTAAATTGTTTTGAGACAGAACAGAACTGTTTTGTTCTGTTTATTTGAGACAAGTGCACTATTATTTGAGAATTTTCTATATCAATATTATGTAATTTAAAGTGTATTCCATAACAAAATTCATTGTCCTTGTACATACATGTAGAAACATAGTAGCTGTAATTAAAACACATGCTTATTTTACTTATTCAGTATCATATATAGATGACACAACTGTTCAATTAGACGACAAACGTGTATAAAGAGAAAAATGTATTTCATAATGTAATAATAGTTAAATCGTGAAGAATAAAACCTGAAATCATAGCCACTCTATCGTTTAAGTTTGTACACAAGGTGGTATTTTGCACTGTTTTGTTTTTATATCTTTCTTCCCAGTCATTCTTGAATATTGCATAAAATTCTCTAAAATGGTAGGAACCCCAAGTTTTCAGGTTTAGCTAAAAGGTATCCATTTACTTTTGACCTTGAAATGTCATGGGCCAGTGTGACAGCGTAGCAACTAAACAAAGACGAAGACGTTCTGCCACATTTCTGAAAGCAGCTTTTTGTCAGATATGTTGGTGAATTTCCGAAAGAGCAATCAAACATGAATGTTAATATTTTGAAAATGATTCGTTTTTCATATGTAGCAAATGAGGTTCATGGACAGATTGTCATGGACAGATTGTTTGGAGTTTTAATTTTTTTCTCGATTGACGGTAACTTGGCATAAATGTTGTGAATTTCGTGTATATTCTTGATATTAAAGAGAAAAAAATTTCAAAAAGGGTTATCCCTAACAGCAATGAAAACAACAAAAAAATATGAAAACGGTAGACTCTTTTTTATTAAAACGGTTTACTGTTTATGACAGAGGTAAAGCTTAACATTGCAATAGTCTTGTTGCTATAGGACTAGGAAAGGCACACGTGGTTTCAATGGTGTGGTTTTTCTATTTTTAGATATTTTATCATGTATGTGTTGCAAATATGTTTGATATGTAAATATGGGTTATATTTTGAACAAAAAAATGCTCGAAAGTAATTGTATCTACATTAGTTAATGTCTATATCGTCAAATATGCTGATACCTTTTTAAGAAACCATGATTTTTTTTCAAATTTAGATACCGCATTTTGTCTTTTCAATACTATGATCAATTCTCAAAAGAACTCCACTGATTATTTTGAGAAGTCGGCACTAAAAATATGTTTTTGAGTTTTCTATACCATTTATGTTGGTCTGCTATACCATTTATGTTGGTCTGTCCAATAACTTGTGTGCAAAACTTTCAGATCATTTGCTCAGTCCTTTTTTCTAGAATTATTATTTGTGAAAAAAAATCCTCCAAATGATAAAAAATTATAAAAAAACGCGCTTTAAAAAGCGCGCTTTAAAAAAACGCGCTTTTACAATAGAACACCATACTATATTCTATTTTACTCCGGGTATTTATTATCTTTTGCATATTTTTTTGTTGGTTGTAAGTGCCAATTGATCATTGTAAGAAATTTATGGGATTTATGCCTTTGGATTCCAGTGGAGTTCCTTAATTGTGTGTATGATTCCGCACCCAATATTGCCACAAAAACGGAATGTCATGATGATTAATTGTTATAAAAAAATTTAAATGTTAAATAAAACATGAAACAAATCAAAATACAAAAATGTAATTAAGAGAATATAATTTCCAGTCAGTATGTAATAATTGTGTTTACAATTATAAATACACATACTTTCATTAGCAATTTAAATACTAAAGAAGTGAATGTCCTAGAAGCATTCGCAATAAAATTGCAATTATATATTATAAAGTATTTATTTGATCTGAAAATAATTTCATAAAACAATTTGAAAATGATCATAGTAAATTCAGGGCAAAAGTAAATAAAACTGTTCTTGATCTTTTTAAGTGCATTATTTATGCATGTCTTCCTCAAATACTTTCTAAATTGTTTTGACATGAATTATGTCCACGTGTTTAAATGTATGGTTTTTACTTCACGTAACTAGAGGATTGATCCCATAATTATGTCTTAAGTTTCTTTTTTACAATAATAAGTAACTTATTCAAGCATAGCTAGGGGTTTGGAACTTAAATGGTAATTCATATTTACATGAGTTTTGCTGGGACTCGAACGCCTCAAAACATAAAATTTGAATCTCCTCCATAGATCAACTAAGGCTTTTAAAAGTTAACGATGTAATTGTTAAAAGATTAAAAATAGATTTTTTCGTGTTTGAAGTTGGAATTGATTAAAAGCATTTTATTTTTGGGTCATTCTTCACAGTAGAGGATATTATTCTGGACTAATGGAATGAACGAATGATGATGTTTTTTACAGACAAGTTGTTGGTTTTGACTAACATTAAATGGTACACAAGTCATAAAGAATTATTTCCAGTCCTTATATGTC